TCGCGTCGCGTCTCTGTCCGCGGTCTAGTCTCTGTCTGCTCCGTATTTCGCGGGAACAACTGTCGACCAGCCAGCGCAGACGCACTTTTTCTCCCACTCGCTGGTCCACTGTCCGCTGACGGCCGTCAACCGTCGAAACCGTCAACCGTCAGACGCACTGTCAGCAGGCGCGCTGTTTGACCGCTGGCCGCCAATTGCCGCGCCAATGTAGAGCCCGAGCGCGGGAAGCATAGGTTACGGCATAGGTTGCGCCCATGGATCCTAAGCAAAAGGAGCACCGGTCAACTAGTAGAGGTAAAGGTCAGCTGTCTGAAACAGAGGCTTCGCGATCTGTCGAGGGCGTGGAGACTCTTGTGAAACAGAGACTCATGTGGACCGTGGTCATTCTAGAGCTTGAGAATGGGAGGTTGAGAATGGATCGAGCAGTGCCGCAGAGCGTGGGGGGTTGACAGCACGATTACGGGTGTGAGTGCACACATGCACATGAGAATCACCTGCAGGCTGCATTACATTCGCGCATGAGCAGAGCCCTTCCTCCCTCCCCCTCCCTCGCCCAATCTACAAATGAGCAGACATGGACCCCGGAGAGCCCGAGTGGTGAGCACAGTGCCTCTGTACAACTTTGACGGGAAGATCATCTGCAACCTAGCGGCTGACACGTGGCCTCTTGACATCAGGTCAGTGCCTGGCTGACACGTGGCATCTTGCTTTCCCTGCCCTCTCTCGGGCACCTCCGCTCTGCCCACTCTCTCCCACGTTCCGTCCTTATCCACCCGTCCTCGTGCTCACATACGTGCTGTCATGTGCCTGTATCCTCCCGGCCACCCAGCGACGAGACGTGGGTGGTGCTGCCGAAGCTGACCCCGCGAGTGGAGCTGCCATCCCTGCCATCTCTCCCATCTCTCCCTCACACACTGCATCCTACATACGTGTTGCCATGCCCCTGTATCTCCTCCCCGCCTCTCAGCGACGAGACGTGGGTGCTGCTACCCAAGCTCACTCCGCGAGTGGAGCTGCCGTCGCTGCCATCCCTGCCGCACTTCCGAGTGTACCCCGAGAGAAGCTCCTCCTCCGTGGACGTCAACAACTGGGAGCAGCTCGTGCACGTGCTCAGGACGCATGGCCGGGTGGGTGGGTGTGTGGGTGTCTGTAACGTGCTTGTCTGTGGTCAAGGAGGGAGGGGGAATGGGGAGTGGGGAGGGGAGGGTTGAATCACTTCCGAGTGTACCCCGAGCGCAGCTCCTCCTCTGTGGACGTCAACAACTGGGAGCAGCTCGTGCACGCGCACACGTGTGTCTGTGGTTCAGGTGATAGGTAGGAGGGGGTCTGAATCACTTCCGAGTGTACCCCGAGCGCAGCTCCTCCTCTGTGGACGTCAACAACTGGGAGCAGCTCGTGCACGTGCTCAGGACGCATGGCCGGGTGGGTGGGTGTGTGGGTGTCTGTAACGTGCTTGTCTGTGGTCAAGGAGGGAGGGGGAATGGGGAGTGGGGAGGGGGAGGGTTGAATCACTTCCGAGTGTACCCCGAGCGCAGCTCCTCCTCTGTGGACGTCAACAACTGGGAGCAGCTCGTGCACGCGCACACGTGTGTCTGTGGTTCAGGTGATAGGTAGGAGGGGGTCTGAATCACTTCCGAGTGTACCCCGAGCGCAGCTCCTCCTCTGTGGACGTCAATAACCGGGAGCAGCTCGTGCACGTGTTACGAACGCATGGAAGGGTAAGTGGATGTGTGTTGTGTGTTAGTTTGCGCGCGCGCACACGCGTGCATACATGTGTGAGTGGTTGAGGAGAAAGGGGGGTTGAATTACTCCGAGTGTACCCCGAGAGAAGCTCCTCCTCTGTGGACGTCAACAACTGGGAGCAGCTCGTGCACGTGCTCAGGACGCATGGCCGGGTGGGTGGGGGGATATATTAATGGGGTAAAGGGGTAGTTCGTTGCGTAAACTGCAAATGCCAAGCCCCTCCCCATCCCGCTCTTACCCCTCACCATTCCTCCCTCTCCTTTCCAACCCAGCCCTCTCTCCCCCCATTTCTCCATTCCTTGTCCAAATTGCACACCCCTCTCCATTCTAGTTATTTTCTGTTCCCCTTTGTTCCTCCTCATTGTTTCCTCCCCCTCTTCCGGCCGCTCCATGCTGTTCTTCCTCCCCCTCTTCGGCCGCTCCATGCTTGTTCTTCTCTCCTCCCTCCTCTTCCCTCGTCCCATCATGTGGGGCTCATCACATCAGCGCGAGGGCAATACCAGTTCGGTCTCCTCCCCATCGCCACCCCATCCACCACCCTTTTTGCCCCTCCAACCCTCCCTATTTTCCTCACCACTTCCCCTTTCCCTTTTTCTTCTCCACCCTGTTCCTCCTCCCCCCATCTTCTCCTCCGCCCACCAGGTGGGACTCATCACATCGGCGCGAGGGCAGTACCAGTTCGGCCTCCTCCCCATCGCCAACCCATCCACCACCACCTCTACCTCTCCTCCCCCACCCCCTCCCGCCTTCGCCCACCCCTCTGCACCTCTCCCCACCGGTTTCTCCTCTGCGCGGGCGTACTACGCGCCGCTGCCAGCTGGCATCCCCCGCCGCGCCCCGCGCTTCCCTGCGGTGCTCCCGGGACTGCTGCCGCAGCAGCAGATGGCGCAGCAGCAGATAAGACCTGCTCACACGGCGCCTGGTCAGATGGCGCCTGGTCAGGTGGTGGCGCATTCTCAGATGGCAGCCTGGTCAGGCACGTGCCCAGGTGGCAAACGGTCCAGGCGCATCTGGGACAGGTGCCACCTGTGCAGGCACACTCGCACGTGGCATCACCATCCGCCCCCTACTCGAGCAGCCTCACCACGTTCAGTTGCACAGGGTCAGGGGCAAAGGGCATGGGCAGGGGCAGCAGAATGCAGCAGGGGCAGCAGCAGGCACAAGCGTGGGGCAGGGTCGCAGGTACACCTGGGGCGGGTGTCCAACCTGGATTTGAGCTCGAACCGCATTCAGTTGCGCAGGGGGCAGGGACATCTGGGACAGCAGGTGGCAGCAGGAGGGGCAGAGATGGGCAGGGACGCAGGTACAACTGGGGCGGGTTCCACCTGGATTCGAGCCCGAACCACAGGTGTCTTCTGCATCTGTGCAGCAGCCCCAACAACAGGAACAAGCACTACCGCCACCCGCCACCACTGCCACCACAGCAGCAGCAGCAGCAACAGCAACACCAACAACAGCAGCGGCACCAGCAGCAATGGCAACAGCACGGTCACACTTCCCCTAGGGCATGGCTCGCCTCGTGCTCCTGGTTCACCAGGCGGCTGGTCCTCCCACCACCCTCCTCCGCCACACGGCCGTGCTTCCCCGAGAGCGCAGAGCCTTCCGGGCCTCACTGCTGCAGGATCTGCGAGTTTCTCCACTCGCCCTGCTGCCTCCGCCCCTGCTGCTCCAGTATCCACCTCAGCACCTCCATTGTCCTTGTCAGCATCTCCAGTATCCACGTCAGCACCTCCATTGTCCTCGTCAGCACCTCCATTGTCCTCGTCAGCATCTGCAACCCCCACATCAGCATTCTCTTTCAAGGTGCACTGCCCCCTCCTCCCACACTTCCACCTCCTCCTCCCCATCCTCCCTCAGCTCCTGCTCCTGCTCCTCCTCCTCCTCTTCCAGCTGCTTCCCCAATGCCCCCTCCACCTGCCCGCCCCCTCTCCCCCTCCGCCTTCCCCCGCCCTCCGCCTCCCCTTCTCTTCCCCCTGCCCGTGCGCCTGGACCCGGCATGCATCCGCAGTACCTGGCGTCCTTAGCGCACACGCACCAGCAGTGGGTGTTTGGGGGACTGGCGGAGCTGATAGATAACTCCATGGACGCCAAAGCACCGCAGGTAGGGATGGGTTGGGATTGATTGGCACACATACACACAGAGAAAGACCTTGTTTTCTTGTAAACCAAGCTCTGAGGCATGTGCACCTCAAACACCCACTGCTGGTGCATGTCACGTGTGCATACATGCTGGTTGCCAACACCATTGTTACTTGCAGTACAATTCTCTGTCAACCCCCAACAGCAGCAGTAGTGGCAGCAACTGAAGCAGATGGGCCTTTTTTTTCCTTGTAACCCGAGTTCCGTTTTGTGTATGCCCGCTTGGCAATCTCTCCACGTTCCTTTCTTTCACCACAGGCTGGTCATTTTCATCAGCACGACCAAACTCCCTTCAAGAGCAACGGGGTTAGCAGCTGCGATTTTTGAGGCGCCTCAAAAGACGATTTTTGAGGCGCCTCAAAAATTCTTTCACCACAGGCTGGTCATTTTCATCAGCACGACCAGCCCTTGCTCTTGCTCTGCACGACCAAAACTCCCTTCAAGAGCAAACGGCGGTAGCGGCGGCAGCAACAGAAGCAGTTGGACCTTCGTTTCCTTGTAACCTAAGCTCTATGTTGTGTATGTATGTCCCCTTGCAATCCCTCCACCCACGTCCCTTTCACCACAGGCTGGACATTTTCATCAGCACGGCCAAGCTCCCCCCAAGAGCAGCCGCGGCAGCCGCAGCAGCAAAAGCAGTTCCCGCAGCATCACCCTCAGCAGCAGCAGCACCAGTCCCCTCCTCCTCCTCCTTCACTCGCCCCTCCTCCTCCGCTGTGCCCTCTGAGCCAGTCCCAGTTCTACACGTGTGTGACGATGGAAAGGGCATGCACCACGGCGAGTTGGTGCAGATGCTGTCGCTGGGCCATGAGCTCCCAGCGGAGGAGGACCCCCACCACATCGGCCGATTTGGGGTTGGCTTCAAGGTGTGTTTCACCACATTGAAATCCAACGTGAAGCAGGTATGGTAGGTGTGACGATGGCAAGGGCATGGACCAATGGCGAGTTGGTGCAGATGCTGTCGCTGGGCCACGAGCTCCCCGCAGAGGAGGACCCCCACCACATCGGGAGATTCGGGGTTGGCTTCAAGGTGCGCTGTGTTGCATTGCAGGCAGACCCCCAAGTGCTGAGTTGACTCAACTCAACACTCACCTTGCTGTCGCTGGGCCATGAGCTCCCCGCAGAGGAGGACCCCCACCACATTGGCCGATTCGGAGTTGGCTTCAAGGTGTGTGCGTGCGATGCAACTCGCGGCTCTTCTTGTATACTCGCTGCAGGTATGTATGGTAGCAGGGCCTTGGCAAGGGCATGGATCACGGCGAGCTGGTGCAGATGCTGTTGCTGGGGCCCCTTCCCTTCCCCCTCCCCCTTCTCCCCTCTCCTCCCCTTCTCTCCCCTCCCCTCCCCTCCCCTCCCCCTCCCCTCCCCTCCCCTCCCCTCCCCTCCCCTCCCCTCCCCTCCCCTCCCCTCCCCTCCCCTCCCCTCCCCTCTCCTTGGTGCTGACTCAATCAAGGGACAGCCGCAGCATCGCGCTGCTCACCCGCTCGCTCAACCACGGCCGGCAGGAGCTGGAGATTCCCACTGTGACTCTCTCAGTCCCCTTCTCTAACCCTCGTTCCTCCCGTCCACCTCCCGTCCACCTCCCTTCCTCCCTCCCGTCCTCACCACCAGACGGGCACGATGCGCATAGGCAACGACGCGCTGGTGCTGACCCAGTCAAGGGACAGCCGCCGCAGCATCGCACTGCATCCCTGCTCAACGGGCCCTGCAGGAGCTGCAGACCCTTCTCCTGACTCTCGTTCGCTCATTCCTCCCGTCCATCTCCCGTCCTCACCACCAGACGGGCACCATGCGCATAGGCAACGACGCACTGGTGCTCACCCAGTCAACGGACAGCCGCAGCATCGCACTGCTCTCCCTCTTGCTCCTGCAGGAGCTCCAGATCCCCATAGCGACTCTCACAACAAACCCCTTTCTCACAAGCCCAAAAACCGCCTTCTCTGTCTTCTTTTTCTCCGTTCCACCCCCGTTTTCCAATTAAAACCACCAGACAGGAACGATGCGCATAGGCAACGATGCACTTGTGCTGACCCAGTCAAGGGACAGCCGCAGCATCGCTCTGCTCTCCCGCTCGCTCAACCACGGCCGGCAGGAGCTGGAGATCCCCATCGTGACGTACAAGCGGGTGGTATCTGGGGGAAGTGGATCTGCTGGCGCCGGGGGAGGTGGGACTGCTGAGTGGCAGGTGGATCTGGGCGTGCATTCAGAGGAGGAGGCGGAGAGGCGCAAGGCAGCAATCTTTGACTTCTCGCCTCTAGACGAGCGAAGGATAAACCAGGAGTTCCGCAAGTGAGTGGTTCAGGTTAGTAATGCTGGCAGGTTGTATCAGGGGGAGGTGGGAGTGTTGAGTGGCAGGTGGATCTGGGGTGCATTCAGAGGAGGAGGCGGAGAGGCGCAAGTCAGCAATCTTTGACTTCTCGCCTCTAGACGAGCGAAGGATAAACCAGGAGTTCTGCAAGTGAGTGGCCTTTTCGAATCTGCAAGTAAGTGGGTGAGGCCACCACTGCTGCACACGGCCCACTCACCCGCACACAGGCACAACCCCCACCGGCACTTGCTTCTACGTGTTCAACCCTCTGCTCTGATCCCATTCCTCTTCCCGCTCACTCTGCTCACAGGTTGGAGCAGGCAAGTGGCGGCAGCAGCAGCGACTCCCCCCCCACAGGCACGCGCATCTACGTGCTCAACCTCAAGCGCCTGTCGCGTCCAGATGCAGCGTACGAGCTCGAGTGGGACGACACCGCCCACGACATCCTCATTCGCACCAGACGGCCGCGCTCCCGCCCCAACCAGCTCTGCCAAGACGTGAGTAGATGGGTCAGTGAGGTGAGGTACATGCGGCTTCTCTTTGCTGCCTGTGTGTCGATACCACAGCAGCCCACCATGCGTACTGACATGGTGAGTGCAGTGAGCAAGCACCCACCACGACATTCTCATCCGCACCAGGCGCCCCCGCTCCCGCCCCAACCAGCTCTGCCAAGACGTGAGTCTTGAGGCAGTCTCAAAAGTCGTGGCTACTAGCTAACCAGCCCGTATGAGAGATTCAGCAGCAGCAGTCAGTCCTTCCCCTGCTGCGATGTGCACCATGACATCCTCATCCGCACCAGGCAGCCCCGCTCCCGCCCCAACCAGCTCTGCCAAGACGTGAGTAGCTACTAGCGAGCCCACCCATGTGATACGGTCAGTCTTTCCCCTGTGTGACACCACAACTCACCACATCCTCATCCGCACCAGGCAGCCCCGCTCCCGCCCCAACCAGCTCTGCCAAGATGTGAGTGTTGCAGCGCTCCAACCAGCTCTGCAGACTACTCCCTGCAGGCGTACCTGCTGCGAGTCATGTTTCTGCACAACCCTGCCACCATCACAGTGCAAGGCCGTGTGGAGGGACATATCTCCAGGGGCTGTCTATATCCCCCTTCCCCTTCACTCCCTTCCCTTCCCATTGAACTCCCCTTCCCCGCTCCACCCTCCACGACTACTCCCTACGTGCATACCTGCGAGTCGTGTTTCTCCACAACCCCGCCGCCATCACAGTGCAAGGCAGTGCAGAGCGGACATTCCCACAAATCCTGTCTCACCCACCCGCCGTCCCTCTATCTCCCTTCCCCTTTCCCTTCCTCCCTGCCTTCCAGGTACCAATAGACTACTCCCTACGAGCCTACCTGCGGGTCATGTTTCTCCACAACCCCGCCACCATCACAGTGCAAGGAAGCCCCGTGCAAGGCAGCGTCGACATCACCCAGAACCTCTCCCAACCGCTCTCCACCACTGGAACCGTCATGGGGCAGCCGGTGCAAGTGCGCATGGGCATGGACGAGGGGGAGAGGGCGTGTGGGCGGTGCGGGTTCTTCCTGTACTGGCACGGGCGGCTGATAGAGGCGTATAAGCGGGTGGGGCGGATGGAGTATTCGGGAGATGCTGGGCTGGGGGTGGTGGGCGTGGTGGACACTACTGCCCTCTTCGTGAGTAAAGGAATCTTCTTGAGTTGCCTGCAGTGTGAGCTGGTTTTTGAGAATTCTCAAAAACCTGCAGTGTGAATGTCTTGTAGTGATTTGAGCGTTGGCTGATAGAGGCGTATAAGCACGTGGGGCGGCTGGAGTATTCGGGAGATGCTGGGCTGGGGGTGGTGGGCGTGGTGGACACCACTGCCCTCTTTGTGAGTGCTGTGTATCAAGCTCCCTTGTTGTCCCTTGGCTTTTGAGTCGACTCAAAAGTCAACTCGGTGGACACTACCGCTCTCTGTGTGAGTACTGTGTATCAGGCTCCCTTGTTGTCCCTTGGCCGCGCTCCCCTTCACGGGCGTGCTCAACCGCAAGCAGAGACTGCGTGCAGTGAGGTGTATTTTGAGGCGCCTCAAAATACACCTTACTGTGTATCAGGCTCCCTTGTTGACCCTTGGCCGCACTCCCCTTCACGGGCGTGCTCAACTGCAAGCAGAGACTGCTCTCCCTGCCAAGAGCTCCCTTTCCACCCCCTTCAACCGCTCCACACTCCTCTTCACCTTCGTCCCTGCAGGATGCAGCAGGGGAGCTGGGAGTGCGGAACTGCAAGCAGCGGTTTGAAGAGGGCGAGGAGTATCAGCGGCTTAAGTACTTCCTGTCCACCCTCTTCAACCACTTCACACTCCTCTTCACCTTCGTCCTTGCAGGATGCAGCAGGAGAGCTGGGAGTGCTGAACTGCAAGCAGAGTCCCCTCTCCCTACAAGGAACTCAACCTCACCCTCTCCAACCGCTTCACACCCCACTTCACCTTCGTCCTTGCAGGATGCAGCAGGAGAGCTGGGAGTGCTGAACTGCAAGCAGCGATTCGCGGAAGGCGAGGAGTATCAGCGGCTCAAGGACTTCCTGTCGATCACCTTCAACCAGTACTGGGAAGACAATTTCGACAAGGACCTGCCCACTGTGAGTTGCCGTGGTTGTTGCCCCACGGTGAGTGAGGTACAAGGACTGGCCCATGGCATCTGTTGGGGTGAAGAAGAAGCATCAGCGGCTCAAGGACTTCCTGTCGATCACCTTCAACCAGTACTGGGAAGACAATTTCGACAAGGACCTGCCCACTGTGAGTTGCCGTGGTTGTCGCCCCACGGTGAGTGAGGTACAAGGACTGGCCCATGGCATCTGTTGGGGTGAAGAAGGAGCATCAGCGGCTCAAGGACTTCCTGTCGATCACCTTCAACCAGTACTGGGAAGACAATTTCGACAAGGACCTGCCCACTGTGAGTTGCCGTGGTTGTTGCCCCACGGTGAGTGAGGTACAAGGACTGGCCCATGGCATCTGTTGGGGTGAAGAAGGAGCATCAGCGGCTCAAGGACTTCCTGTCGATCACCTTCAACCAGTACTGGGAAGACAATTTCGACAAGGACCTGCCCACTGTGAGTTGCCGTGGTTGTTGCCCCACGGTGAGTGAGGTACAAGGACTGGCCCATGGCATCTGTTGGGGTGAACAAGGAGCATCAGCGGCTCAAGGACTTCCTGTCGATCACCTTCAACCAGTACTGGGAAGACAATTTCGACAAGGACCTGCCCACTGTGAGATGCTTTTCAGTCGATTCTTTGGTTTCATTCCTCTTTGAGGGCTGTTCTTAAGGCTTCTCAAATACAGGTTGGCGGCAGCTGGAGCTCGATTTCTTGGCCACCCTTCCCCTTTCACCATTTTGAGGCGACTCAAAACGATTTCTGAGGCGCCTCAAGTTTTAGGTGATCGTCTCAAAAACAGGTTGGCTGCAGCTGGAGTTCGATTTCTTGCCCACCCTTCCCTTCCACATTTCCCTTGTCTCACCTCCCTCCTGTTCTCCTTCCCCATTCCCCCGTGTTCAGTCGAACATACCAGAGGGGGCAGTGCTACAGGATCACAGGGACTGGGTGCAGTGCGACAAGTGCCAGCAGTGGCATATCCTGCCGCCCAGTGTCACCTCTGAAATGCTGCCAGAAAACTGGTATGAGGGATGCCGAGGGGTGCTAAGGGATGGTGATGGGGGATGTGAGGTGCTGAGGGGTTCTCAGGGGTGGTGATGGATGTGACATTTGAGATGCTGCCAGAGGACTGGTATGGCGGGTGATGGTAGGAAGAGGAGTCCAATGTGTGCTCACTCTCTCTGCCTGCCATTGAATGCATGCTTCATGTTGACACCTGTTGACTCTTGTTGACTCTTGTTGACTTCTGTTGACTCTGCCCCTCCTTTACCCCATGTTCTGCTACGTGGACCCCTTATGGTGCATGTGCTGACAGCTGTTGGCCCCTATGCATCCTCTCTTTTTGGCTTTGGTTGATTCCTGTTGACTTTGACTCCTGTTGAATTTTCCTACAGGTTCTGCTACATGGACCCCATACAAGGCACGTGCTGACAGTCGTTGACCCCTACACACCCACTCGTTGACTCCTAATGACTTCCTTTGACTCCTGTTGACTCCTGTTGACTTTCCTCCCAGGTTCTGCTACATGGACCCCATACGAGGCAAGTGCAACGACCCCAATTATGTTGAACCTGCTCCTAACGAGGCCACCCTTGGGATCTTGTTGACTCTTGTTGACCCTGCCCTTCTTTAATCCCAGGTTCTGCTACATGGACCCCATACGAGGCAAGTGCCGACAGTTGTTGGCCCGTATACACCCATTCATTGACTTGTGTTGACTCGCATTGACTCCTGTTGACTCCTTTTGACTTGCTCCCCAGGTTCTGCTACATGGACCCCATACGAGGCAAGTGCAATGACCCCAACTACGTTGAACCAGCTCCTAACGAGGTCACCCTTGGGATTTCCAGACACTACAGTAGCTTCCCTGGTGCTGCTTCTCCTGCGTCTGCTGCTGCTGCCGCTGCTTCTGCTGCTGCTTCTGCTGCTGGTGCCGCTGCCGGTGCTGCTGCTGGCGCTGCTGGTACGCTGAATGCTGATGGGCGCACCTTGACTGGTGCTGCTTCAGATGCTGACAGCAACTGCGTCCCTGTTACGACTAGAAGCAGTGCTGCAGCAAGGGCCACAGAAGGAGCTGCTGCAGGTGGGGGAACGGGAGAAACGGCAGGAGCAGCAGGAGCGTCAAGAAGGTCAGGAGAAACAGCAGCAGCGGGAGCGGGAGGAGGAGCAGGAGCAGGCAGAGCAGGAGCGGCTGCAGCGGCAGCAGGAAGAGGAGGAGGTGAAGCAGGAGGAGCAGCAGGTGGGCTCAGAATCAAGCCACCAATGGGAAAGCAGAAAGCTTTTGCTCGAAAGTCCTCACCTGCTGCTGAGGCGAAGGGCAAAGGGACGAGTTCTGAGGCGCCTCAGAAAGCTTTTGCTGTCAAGTCTTCCCCTGCCGCTGCAGCCAAGGGCAAAGGGACGACGAGCGAGGGTAAACGAGTGAGCGAGAGGGAGAGAGGGAGAGCGAGTGAGCAGAGGGTGAACGAAGGGAGGAGAGAGGGTGAGGGGGCGGGTGCTGGCATGAGCCGAAGAATGGGTGAAGGTGCACATGGTCCTGCTGCTGGGCCAAGCAGGGTTGGAGCTAGAGAGGCGAGTGGGGGAGTGGGGGCAGGGCGGGCAGGGGAAGGACGAGGGGGAGGGGTCGGGGAGCAAGGCGGAGCAAGAGTGGGGAGAGGAGGTGGGCTGGGAGGAGCCGGAGCAGCAGGCTTGGATGAAGGCAAGAAGAGGAAGCTAGGAGGGGAAAGTGGGATGGCTGGTGGCAGTGGGGTGGCAGGTGGCAGTTGCATTCCTGACAGAGGTGGGCCGGGTGGCAGTGGCACACATGTGAGGGTGAAGGAGGAACCAGGGGAGTATGTGGGAGTGGCAGTGGGGTTAGAGAGGCACGAACGGACAAACAGGAGGGGGCATGGCGAAGGGGGGCACGAGGGACGGGAGTGTGAGCGAGAAGGGCTGGGAGTGGGGCGACGGGGAGCAGGGCATGCAAACTGGGGAGAAGAGAGGCCAGAAAGCGGACTAAGAAGAGGCGTGGAAAGACACGATAATGCAGGCACTGGGGCAGGAGTGGAGAGGAGGGATGGCAGGGTAGGGGGGAGGGTGGAGAGGAGGGAGTGTGGAGAGGCAGTGGTAGGAGTGGAGAGGAGTGGAGCAGGGTCATCTCCGGCATGGAGGCATCCTGCTGCTCCTACTGCTGCTGCTGCAGGTCCTTCTGGTGATCACAGAATTGCTGCTTCTGCCTCTGGTGCTGCTGCTGCAGCTGGCAACCACGGAGCAGGTTTGAGTGGTGCTGCTGCAGAGAGGGAGGAGGGGGAGGAGGTGGACAGCAGTGAAGAGAGCGAGGAGGATGCGGTGACGTGGCACCACCGGCCAGCAAAGAGACGTGCGATCATGGATGATGATGATGATGATGAACTTGAGGACGGAGAGGTGTGACATCCTAGTTGTTTGTTTGTAGCAATGATGGTTTTGAATGTAGATGTTTCTTTTCTAGTTGGGTTTTGTAAGGTAATAATTCAAGCTGGAGCTTTGTTTTCCCCATAACATGGTAAACCCGAAGGGGTTTCATATCAAGGTAGAGAATGTGAAAATACATTCAAACAAGGCAATTAATCTATAGATCCTTCTCTGGATGGAATACAATCTCTGGCATTGTACATTCTTTGAAATTCCTACACCCTGGATACCGGTAGAAGTCAAACATTTGTACGGTACATATTCTCCAAATAAGCACGTTTTCTAAAATCATGCTGTTTCACTTGTCAAAAGGTTTCAACCACGCTGATTACAACGAGTTTTCACATTCGAAGCCATGCTGGCTGTGGGCTGTGTGGAGATCCCAGAGTGGTGGAGAACTTTCGGACGAGTTAGATTCAGCCAGATGGCAGGCATGTAGCCCATAGACGGTTCGATTATGGGCGACCGCTAAGCAGGTGCAGCAGGTCGTCGTTTTCATCGCCTTTCCACTCTCGTGCGACGCGTGCGGAATAGAGTTGCGACTTGACCAGCCTTTTTATTGGCTGGGCGGAAGGCATGGCTGCAGTCTTCCGCCCAACCAATCGGCGCAGGCCGTAGGAGACACGAGAACCATCCACCACCACGGGCTCGTTCAGTCACGGCAACACAATGAAAACAGAAACTAGAGCGGTATAGTACGATCTCTCGCTTTTCTGTGGTTGACGTCAGTATACAGTAAGGTTCGTACTTGCGCCTTTCTCCTCATTTTCCCCCACCCCTGCTGTTCCGCCATGTCCTCCGCACCCTTTTGTCCCCGACACCTCTTTTCCCCTTCGCATTGCGCAATGCATGGCTCTCCCGCATTCCGCTCCACGGAATTATCTTTTGTTTGTTCTCCATGCACTGAAATTTGTGCAACAAGAATATCCGTTCAGCCATTCCCATTGCTCCATAATTTCAGCTCCACAACCATTCCCGCAGCCTATCGTCGATTCTCGCTTGCGACTTCCAGCAAATCACTGACGACTGGTGCCTTCGAATACACGGCGTAGATTCTTCCTTGTAACGTTCGCCCTGTTTTAGACTGGGAGTGAAATTCCGGCTTCCACCTTCTGTCGTCGGTTCCTGAAATTTCTTGAAACGCAGCGTATTCTGGCTGACGCTTTCCCCGAGTTCTACTGGATCGTGAACGGTTCCGCCTCCGTCTTTAATCGACGTCCCTTGTTCCACAAATTATCCAGTACCTGTTGGCGAAATCTTGAGCATTGAACGAAAATCAGTGGCGGCGATGGCGGAGAATGAGTGGCTATCGGGTTATCTGGACGCGATTCTAGAGCGCGGAGGCGCGCCGATGGACACTGACAAGAAGGAACGGCTGGATCTATCGGAGATCAAGGGGCAGAGCGGCACAGCCGTCCGATACTTTGTGAATGAGATCAAGGATTCGAGCGAGGAGGAGCTGCATCGCACATGGATGAAGGTATCGCACATGAGCGATGGAAGTGTCGCACATCCAGCGTTGGAAATGTCGCACATAAACGATGGAAGCGCCGCGCACGAAATTGTCGCACACGGACATGTGTCTCGCATGGGTGAACATATCGCACATGTAGACATCGTACTTGAAGGCGTGTCGCCCACGATTGTGTCTTAGCAGCTACAATGTCCTAATGCGTGCTTTGCTTTGATCCGTGATCTGCGCAGGCCACAGCAATGAACGACGAGAAAGGGTCCCGAATGGAGAATTTCACGTGGCGAATTTGGCACCTGTCCCGGAAGAAGAAGCAGGTATGCTTCGCGTACCGACTGTACTGTGTAGGTATTTGTTGGGAAACAAAGCATAATCCTAGTATGCATCGTCTAACCTGGAAAAGCATTTTCGTATCACTGATGTCCCTTTTTGCAGAAATTTGTCTTGCTGGCACTTCGTGGCCTTGCGATTCCCCACAATTGTCCTCAAACTCCTAAATTGACACCCACCCAGTCGTCTTAACTACATCCCAATCTTCAAAAACTTCTCCCTATATCTTTTACCTCCTCCCCCTCCCCCCCCCCCCCCCCCCCTTGTAACTCTCCTAAATCCTCCCCCAACAATGCCCTAAATCTTCATCACAATCTCCGCCTTGCTTGGCGCTTCTTGCTGCAGTTGGAGCAAGAAGCATCGCGGATCAAGGAGCAGCAGCAGCACGTCAAGGAGGCGGCTGAGCTGGACATAGAGGAGGAGGACGGCCCTGAGTCCACCCTCCCGGACTCCCTCGCTCTGCTTCATGGGGACTCGGCCAACATTGATTCGTATTCCCCTCATTCTCTCCAAAAACGTGTCCTCCTCAAATCCCTTTTCCTCTCGAACCTTCCACCGCCCCCTGCAGTTGGAGCAGGAAGCTTCGCGCATCAAGGAGCAGCAGCAGCACGACAAGGAGGAGGCTGAGCTGGACATAGAGGAGGAGGACGGCCCTGACGATGACGCCCTCCCGGACGCTCTGCCCGGTGCTGACGTGGCTGCTGACGTGGACAAGGCCGCGGATGACCTGCTGGACTCCAGTGCCAACGTGGCAGCGGCTCAGGCGGCGGCAGCGAAGGCTGCAGCGGAGAAGGAATCCCGGGGGAGGAGGGAGAACCAGCAGCAGGGGGCGCAGCAGGGGGAGAGGCAGAGGGAGGTGCCTGCTGGTGCAGGGTTGACTGCTGAGGCGCCTGGGAGGGATCCGCTTGAGCATGGCACGGAGAAGAGGCTCTATATTGTCATGATCAGGTGAGCCTTGGGATTGTCGTTTCTAGGTGAGTGCAATGAGTTTCTACACCTGATGCGCTTGAGGGTCCCGCTTGAGCATGGCACGGAGAAGAGGCTCTATATTGTCATGATCAGGTGAGACTTGGGATTGTCGTTTCTAGGTGAGTGCAATGAGTTTCTACACCTGATGCGCTTGGGAGGGTCCCGCTTGAGCATGGCACGGAGAAGAGGCTCTATATTGTCATGATCAGGTGAGACTTGGGATTGTCGTTTCTAGGTGAGTGCAATGAGTTTCTACACCTGAGGTGCCTGGGAGGGACCCTCTTGAACATGGCACGGAGAAGAGGCTCTATATCGTCATGATCAGGTGAGCCTTAAGATTGCCGTGATCAGGTGAGCCTTGGGATTGTCATGATCAGGTGAGCCTTGGGATTGTCGTGATCAGGTGAGCCTTGGGATTGTCGTGATTAGGTGAGCCTTGGGATTGTCGTGATCAGGTGAGCTTTGGAATTGTCATGATTTGGCATGCCTTGGGATTGTCACGATCAGGTGAGCCTTGGAATTGCCTTGATGAGGTGGGCCTTGGGATTGTTTTGATGAGGTGGGCCGTGTGATTGTCGTGACTAGGTGAGTGGATTGCCGTGATCAGGTGAGCCTTGGGATTGCCGTGATCAGGTGAGCCTTGGGATTGCCGTGATCAGGTGAGCCTTGAAAATATCATGATTCAATAAGTGTTTTGCACAGCATATATAATTTTTGTGCTTGAGTGCAATGAGTTTTTCAGCAAATGGGCTGCTGAGGCGCCTGGGAGAGATGCGTTTGAGCATGACATAGAAATGAGATTTCAGGAATTGTCATGATTAGATGAGCCTTGGGAATTTTGTGGATCAGTCAGTGTTATTTATCAGTGAGGACGCTTTGGTTAGGCATGCTAGGCCAAGAGCATACGAACAGACGAGTTAGACATCCGCCTGAATTTGGATGCGCATGCAAATGATTGAACACATTTGGCATGTGCATGTTTTTTATTGTAATTTGCATTGTGCGTGTGCATGTGTTTTCTCCCCCCTGCACCCGCCAGCATCCATGGGTTGGTGCGAGGAGAGAACATGGAGCTGGGGCGAGACTCGGACACGGGCGGCCAGGTATGTGTGCTCCTGTGTGGTGCATCTGTGCTGCCTGCTCCTGTGTGCTGCCACGTGTCTCTCGTATAAGGCACCATACAGCATCCATGGGTTGGTCCGAGGAGAGAACATGGAGCTGGGGCGAGACTCGGACACGGGCGGCCAGGTATGTGTGCTCCTGTGTGGTGCATCTGTGCTGCCTGCTCCTGTGTGCTGCCACGTGTCTCTCGTATAAGGCACCATACAGCATCCATGGGTTGGTCCGAGGAGAGAACATGGAGCTGGGGCGAGACTCGGACACTGGAGGCCAGGTATGCACTACGCTGTTGCCTGCACGTGTGTGCTGCCTGCTCTCGTGTGTACTGCCTGCCCCTGTGTGCTAGTTCTCTTGTATAATGCCGTCCCGTATTCTGCCTGCACTCGTGTGCTGCGCTGCCCTTCCATTTGCAATCAGAGGCATGGTGTTGCCCAGGCGTCTTTTTCTTGCTATATATCACACCCTTGATACAGTTAATCAGGTTTCATGTAAAAAAGGGTGTCACGTGGAGACCCACCCGCCTCCACCCGCTCTTTTCTCCCGTTTCCCTCCCCACCTTCTCCAGGTGAAATACGTGGTGGAGATTGCGAGAGCTCTCGCGTCCATGCCTCAGGTGTATCGCGTGGATCTGCTCACACGCCAGATCGTTGCCCCTGGGGTGAGTGGTTGTGCGTGGTGGTGAATGGTGGGGTGCGTTTGGAGTGGCTCATAAGGAGAAAGGGAGAGCCCCGGCGTCCATGCATCAGGTGTACCGCGTGGATCTGCTCACACGTCAGATCGTTGCCCCTCGGGTGAGTGGTTTGAGAAGTGGTGGTTAGTGGTGGGGAGTGGTGGAGAGTGGTGGGAGTGGGTTTGGAAGTGCTCATTAGGAGAGAGGGAGCGCCCTGGCGTCCATGCCTCAGGTGTACCGCGTGGATCTGCTCACACGCCAGATCGTTGCTCCTGGGGTGAGTGATAATGGGAAGTGGTGGTGATTGTTGGTGTGTGGAGAGTGTCGGTGGTGGGATTGGATCTGCTTAATAAAGGTACTGGAGAGCCCCGCGCAACCAGTACCTGTGAAATCACCAAGGAGGCGTTCTGGCCGTGCACCGACGAGCTGCTGTTGTGGATGTCCCTTGGCCCACTCACTGAACCCCTGCCAACCGCACTCAACTGCACCCGCACGCCCATCTCCCTGTCTCCCCTCTCCTGTTTCCCTTTCTCCCCGTGAGTCTAGATCGACTGGTCCTATGGCGAGCCCTCTGAAATGCTGAGCTCGCTCCGCTACGACCCGGACGGGCTGATAGTGGGGGAGAGCGGGGGACGTACATCATCCGCCTGCCATGCGGCCCACTGACTGAACCCTTGCCAACCGTACTTAACCATGCACACGCTCTGCTCTCCATTCTCCCTGTGCTTTTAGGTCGACTGGTCATACGGCGAGCCCTCGGAGATGCTCAGCTCCTTGCGCTACGACTCGGACGGGCTGATAGCGGGGGAGAGCGCGGGCGCCTACATCATCCGCCTGCCGTGCGGCCACTGATTGCACCCTTGCCAACCGCACCCAACCACTTCCCACCAGGTTGATTGGTCATACGGAGAACCCTCAGAGATGATCAGCTCCCTCCGCTACGACCCGGACGGGATGATAGCAGGGGAGAGCGCGGGGGCCTACATCATCCGCCTGCCGTGCGGCCCGCGCGACCAGTACCTGCGCAAGGAGGCGCTGTGGCCGTACGTGGACGAGTTTGTGGACGGAGCTCTCACGCACATCATGCACATGTCGAGGGAACTGGCGGATCAGATCGGGGACGGGCAGCGCGTGTGGCCGTATATGATTCACGGGCATTACGCCGATGCTGGAGACATAGCCGCGCTGCTCTCAGGTGGGTGCGGCCATCCCTCTCAGGTTTACGGGTCTCAGCGCTACTGAATCTTGAGGCGTCTCGGAGATGGGCCAGGCTCTTCACAGGCTTGCAGCAGGTGTGAGTGAGTGCCATAGTGGTGGGGGTTGGAGTTCTCTCACGCACATCATGCACATGTCCAGGGAGCTCGCGGATCAGATCGGGGACGGGCAGCGCGTGTGGCCGTATATGATTCATGGGCATTACGCCGATGCTGGGGATATAGCGGCCCTTCTTTCAGGTCAGTTCCCTCTCAGCAGCAGGCGTGGAGCAGACCAGTGCCTCTTTTTGAGGCGTCTCAAGTAGACCAGTACCTGCGCAAGGAGGCGCTGTGGCCGTACGTGGACGAGTTTGTGGACGGAGCCCTCACGCACATCATGCACATGTCGAGGGAACTCGCGGATCAGATCGGGGACGGGCAGCGCGTGTGGCCGTATATGATCCACGGGCATTACGCCGATGCTGGGGACATAGCGGCTTTGCTCTCAGGAAGGTGTTCGCTCGTGGGTCTAAGGTGGGTGCGCTGATCTTTCAGCGCTCTCAGCAGCAGGCGAGGAGCAGAACATCACCTGCGTAAGGAGGAGCTCTGAGACGTCTCTGGGTTTTTTTTTTCTCACCTTCGATATTCTTTCTTCTTTAAACCTCCCTTCTGTGTCTGTTTGACTGTCCAGGTGCACTGAACGTGCCCATGGTGCTAACAGGCCACTCCCTGGGCCGTAACAAGTTGGAGCAGCTGCTGAAGCAGGGGCGCATGAGTCGCGGGGAGATCAACACGCAGTACGCCATCGACCGGCGCATCGAAGCCGAGGAGTTTTCTCTGGATGCGGCAGAGCTGGTGGTGACGAGCACGCGGCAGGAGGTGGAGGAGCAGTGGGGGCTGTATGACGGCTTTGACGTGCGCCTGGAGAGGGTGCTGCGCGCCAGGCAGCTCAGAGGGGTCAGCTGCCACGGCCGCTTCATGCCGCGCATGGCGGTGAGTACACATGAGCGCACGGAGTACAGGGGGTTTTGGGTTGCAGGGGTAAAAGTGGAGGTGGAGGAGCAGTGGGGGCTGTATGACGGCTTTGACGTGCGCCTGGAGAGGGTGCTGCGCGCCAGGCAGCTCAGAGGGGTCAGCTGCCACGGCCGCTTCATGCCACGCATGGCGGTGAGTATGGGGATACAGGGAGAGGGCTAGTAGGCCAGGAGAGGGGAAGAGGTGGTAGATCAAACGTCAATCGTTTGGTACTCGGGGCTAAGGGTTCTGAACCCTACACACTCTCCCACCACCCCCACTGCCCTAACAGTTCCTCGTGCAACAGTGACGTGGAGTATGGATGTCGAGGCCTACAATGTGTGGAGTACAGGAAATGGGTCTTTTTTCGTGCTTCCTCATTGCGAGACATAGCAGTAGCACGAAATGAGGAAACACGAATAGGACCCATCTCTTTTCCCCACGCGTAGTAGTCCTTGTCATCCATATACCCCTCCCCTCCTCCTCCTCTCCATCCGTGTCACTGTTGCACGAGGAACTGTTGGGCAATGGGGGTGGTGGGAGAGGGTGTAGGGTTCAAAACTCCTAGCCCCGAGTACCAAACTATTCCCTTTCATCCCTTATAATTGCGATCATCCCTGTCATAGCTCCCAGCTATTCGCACCTTGCTTCACCCCTTCGCTCAATCACCCCCCATTCGCTCCGTCCCATTCCTGTTCCTCCCCACCCCCTTTACCCATCAGGTCATTCCCCCAGGAATGGATTTCTCCAACGTGGTCGTCCCAGATATCGACGGCTCAGATTCGCCCGGGCCTGAGCCTCCCATTTGGGCCGAGGTATGGAGCAATTCGTTTGTAGCACACTTCTTTCATCGTAACGTCATGAATTTTGAAGGCGGCTCAAAGGAGGTATGGAAAGAAAGCCTTGTTTGTAGCACATTCCTTTGTTATCGTCTTCCATCCGCTCCCCCCCCTGTCTCCCCCTTCTCTTCCTCACAGGTGCGCAAGTTCTGGTCCAACCCGCACAAGCCCATCATCCTCGCCCTCTCGTCATCCCTCCCTGTTCTCCCCATCTGTTCCCCCCCCACCACCCACCCCCCGGTCCCCCTTTAACTCCCCCCCTGCCGTCCCGCACCAGGAGCGCAAGTTCTGGTCCAACCCACACAAGCCCATCATCCTGACCCTTTTGTCTTCACTCCCTGCTCCCTGTGTGCCCCCTTCCATGCCCTCCCCCATCTGCTCCCCCCCTGTTTCACCCCATCCCCCACCCCAGGTGCGCAAGTTCTGGTCCAACCCGCACAAGCCCGTTATCCTTGCTCTCGCCCGCCCCGACCCCAAGAAGAATCTCACCACGCTCGTGCGCGCCTTTGGGGAGTGCCAGGCGCTAAGGGACCTCGCAAATTTGGTGAGCCGTGTGGGCTGTTTGTGAGAGAGAATAGTGGTAAAGAGGTTATTTAAAAGCCTCAAGAAGAATCTCACCGCGCTCGTGCGCGCCTTTGGGGAGTGCCAGGCGCTAAGGGACCTCGCCAATTTGGTGAGCCGTGTGGGCTGTTTGTGAGAGAGAATAGTGGTAAAGAGGTTATGTAAAAGCCTCAAGAAGAATCTCACCGCGCTCGTGCGCGCCTTTGGGGAGTGCCAGGCGCTAAGGGACCTCGCCAATTTGGTGAGCCGTGTGGGCTGTTTGTGAGAGAGAATAGTGGTAAAGAGGTTATTTAAAAGCCTCAAGAAGAATCTCACCGCGCTCGTGCGCGCCTTTGGGGAGTGCCAGGCGCTAAGGGACCTCGCCAATTTGGTGAGCCGTGTGGGCTGTTTGTGAGAGAGAATAGTGGTAAAGAGGTTATTTAAAAGCCTCAAGAAGAATCTCACCGCGCTCGTGCGCGCCTTTGGGGAGTGCCAGGCGCTAAGGGACCTCGCCAATTTGGTGAGCCGTGTGGGCTGTTTGTGAGAGAGAATAGTGGTAAAGAGGTTATTTAAAAGCCTCAAGAAGAATCTCACCGCGCTCGTGCGCGCCTTTGGGGAGTGCCAGGCGCTAAGGGACCTCGCCAATTTGGTGAGCCGTGTGGGCTGTTTGTGAGAGAGAATAGTGGTAAAGAGGTTATTTAAAAGCCTCAAGAAGAATCTCACCGCGCTCGTGCGCGCCTTTGGGGAGTGCCAGGCGCTAAGGGACCTCGCCAACCTGGTGAGTAGCATGAGCAGGCTTGATGGGACCTGGCCAATCTGGTGAGTCCGAGGAATTCAGATGTTCAAGATATGCATTTGGGCTGCTTCTGCCCTTACCCGCACGCACCCATCGTCTTTCCTAACCCACCCTCCCGCCGTCCTTCTCTCCCGCCCTCCTTGCCACGCGCCCACTCTCTGCTGCAGCGTCTGGTGATGGGCAACCGGGACGACATTGAAGCAACGCAGTGAGTGCGGGCAACGCAGAGGTGCTGACAGCGGTGTTCAGTCACACACCCTCTTCCCTGATTCACCGTTCGTCCCTCTCTCTCCTCCAGTGTCTGGTGATGGGCAAACGTGACGACATTGATGCCATGAGCGCTGGAAACGCGGAAGTGCTGACAGCGGTGCTGAAGCTGATAGACAAGAAAGCACCTACCTTCCTCCCTTTTCAACCCCCCACCCCAACCCATCTAAACCCATACCAACCCACCTTCCCCAGTGCCTGGTTATGGGGAATCGAGACGATATCGACGCCATGAGCGCTGGAAACGCAGAGGTGCTGACAGCGGTGCTGAAGCTGATAGACAAGTACGACCTGTACGGGCAGGTGGCGTACCCCAAGCACCACAGGCAGGCTGAAGTGCCCGACATCTACGCCCTCGCTGCTAAGTCCAAGGTGAGCTGCCTTTGTCCTTGTTGCAAGTATATCAGGCATAGAGGGAGTACCAGCAGGAGGCATCAAGTGTGGCCTACTCGAAGCACCACAAGCAGGCTGAAGTGCCGGACATATACGCCCTCGCTGCTAAGTCCAAGGTGAGGAGAACAGGGATCCAGGCCGCTGGTAGTGCTCTGTGGTGTTGTGTGGTGTGGTGCATGGTGCGGTGCGGTTTGGTGTTTTGTGGTGTGGTGTGCCGACAATTCTGACAGCGGTGCTGAATCTGGTAGACAAGTACCACCTGTACGGGCAGGTGACGTACCCCAAGCACCCATATGTGTACTACAAACATGCAGTCTCCACCATCCTCAACTGTCCATGGCCACATGTCGCTTTTGAGGCGACTCAAAATTCACCTCGTTACATTAGCACCCGTACATGTACAAATATACACTTTCCTCTATCCTTAACTGTCCATGGCCCCATGTCGGTTTCGCCCGATGCACCCTGGACATGGGGCCACGGCAGTGAGCACCTTGAAAATTTCCGCAGCGAGGGGAAAGGGGGTTTGCCAACCACCTAAGCGCTGCCGCCCTCGCCTCTTGAGAATTCTGATAAGTTCCTGCCCTGTATTCCCTCGTGTCCCGTTCACCCCCGCCCCTCCTTTCCAGGGCGTTTTTGTGAACCCAGCACTCGTGGAGCCCTTTGGCCTCACTCTCATTGAGGTACGACTATTTCAGATTCGCATTATGCTTCCAATAGTAGCCTGAAGCTCAATACGCTTCCAATCTCAACCGCTTGGCCATGTCTTCCCTTTCGTGTTTGGCGATTGTTCTCAGGCTCCACAAATCAGCATGAGCTTTTTCTCTTTTTTTTGCTTTCTCGCTTTCGTCCTCACATCCCCCTACTTCCCATGCCTTCCTCCCATTTGTCCTACCCGCCCTCTTCCTCACACCACAGGCAGCAGCACACGGGCTGCCCATGGTGGCCACAAAGAACGGCGGCCCCGTTGACATCCAAAAGGTGAGTGCCCTGCTGTCAAGGTAATCTGGAGTCAACGCAAGTCAAGGAACGATCACGGTGTGATCCCATTCACATTCAGAAGGCCCATCACGTTGAAGCTTCCGTGTGTTTTGAGGTAACTCACCTTAACAAGTGAACTGCAGAAGGCGGCTCCGTTGGCGTCCTCCATTGAGGCATGTCAAATCTAGTCTAGACGTTTCAACCTCCCTCCCCTCCCCCCTCTCTTTTCCCCCCTCCCCCCTCCTTCATGAGCAACGGGCTGGTGGTGGATCCTCATGACGCCAATGCTCTGGCATCCGCGCTGCTACAGCTGGTGGCGGACAGAGGCCCTCCTGTGCTGCCCTCCCATTCTTAAGCTGCTACTCCCGCCTTTTACGGTGCTTCTCCCATGAGAATTATTGCAACTGCCGCCTTTTTCGGTGCTTCTCAGATGCTGAGCAACGGGCTGGTGGTGGACCCCCATGACACCAACGCACTGGCATCGGCGCTGCTACAGCTGGTGGCGGACAGAGCACTGTCCTGTGTTGCCCTCCCAATCTTCTCCGCTGCCCCCCGTCCTCCCCCACGCCCCTTCCTTTCCCTGGTTCAGATGCTGAGCAACGGGTTGGTGGTGGACCCTCATGACGCCAACGCGCTGGCAGAGGCGCTGCTACTGGTGGCGGACAGAGGCCCTCCTGTGCTGCCATTCCATCCTCAATCCGCCGCCCCCCTCCTCTCACTCCTCATCTCCCACCGTCTTCCCTTGGTCAGATGCTGAGCAACGGGCTGGTGGTGGACCCCCATGACGCCAACGCACTGGCAGAGGCGCTGCTACAGCTGGTGGCGGACAGAACACTGTGGATCGAGTGCAGGAAGTCTGCTCTAGCCAACATTCACAAGTACTCCTGGCCGCAGGTGGGTGCGAGTGGGTGTAGGTGGGCGCAATTTGGTGCAGGTTCATAGGCAGCTGGTGGCGGACAGAACACTGTGGACCGATTGCAGGAAGTCAGCACTGGCGAACATTCACAAGTACTCCTGGCCGCAGGTGGGTGCGAGTGGTTGCAGGTGAGTGTGAGTGGTGGGTGCAGGTGGGTGCAAGTGGGTGCAGGTTCATAGACAGCTGGTGGCGGACAGAGCGCTGTGGACCGATTGCCGCAAGTCTGCTCTGGCCAACATTCACAAGTACTCCTGGCCGCAGGTGGGTGCTGAGCGGGTGTAGGTGGGTGAATGGCCAGTTCCGTGGGTGTAGCGCTGTGGACGGATTGTCGCAAGTCTGCTCTGGCCAACATTCACAAGTACTCCTGGCCGCAGGTGAGTGCGAGTGGGTGCAAGTGGGTGCAGGTGGGTGCGAGTGGGTGCACGTGGGGACACATGAGTGCAGCAGCACTCCTCAACCATGTTGCTGATGGTGTTTCATCAGCCGACAGCGCCAAAAAGCCTCCACTCCAACTCCCTCCGCCGGGACATCCAAGACCTTATTTCAATCTTTTCTTCCCCTTCCCCCGCTCCCCTACCCCCTCGTCTCCTCCTGCCCCTTTCCCCTTCCCTTTGCCCTCCTTTCTCTCTCTCCCATTCATCCTCCTCCCAAACAGCACTGCGCCTCTCTTCTCACCCGTGTGGCCCAGTCTCATCTGCGCCACCCAGTGTGGAGGGCAGCAGCACTCTTCGACCAGGTCGCCGCCTCTACCTCTTCAACCACCACCACCAACACCACCGGCCTCCAATCCGACTCACTCCGAGACATCCAAGACCTCTCCCTGCGCCTCTCTCTTTCTCCTTCCCCTTCCGTCTCTCCAATTCCCCCTCTCCCCTTCCCCGTCTTCCCTTTCCCCTCTCCCTTCCCCATTTCTCCACACCCCAAACAGCACTGCGCCTCTCTTCTCACCCGTGTGGCCCAGTCTCGTCTCCGCCACCCCGTGTGGAGGGCAGCAGCACTCTTCGACCAGGTCGCTGCCTCTACCACCACCACCACCAACACCACCGGCCTCCAATCCGACTCCCTCCGGGACATCCAAGACCTCTCCCTGCGCCTCTCATTCGACGGCAAGTTCTGGGGCGGAGGGTCCTTCCAGGGAGGGTCGTTTCAAGGCGGTTCCATGGATCTCTCTTTCATGCTGGACAACCTTGGGGTTATCCGGCCAGACGGTCGCTCCGCTAGCGGCTATGCAGCCGAGCCTTCTCATGCGGCTGGTGCTGGTGGTGGTTTTGGTGGTTCTGGTGGTCTTGGTGGTGGGGAGGGGCTGGGAGCGGGAGCAGCGTTGGGGATTCACAACAGGCTGGGGAATTATTCGTTTACTGGGGGTATGGGGTCGGAGAGTGTTGGGCGGGTACCGGGAAGGGGTGGGCGCGTCGGGGCGGCTGCAGGGAATGCAGGAGGAAGGGGAGGATGGAGGGGCAGGCGCAGGGGTTGGGGCTGGGGAGAAAGGGTCGGCAGCAGGAGCGGCGGCAGCAGCAGCGTTTGAGGGACTTCGGTTGAGAAGGCGGCGGCGGCTGATTGTGGTAGCCGTGGACGAATACGACCCCGTTGGGCGGCCGGGTTCGTCTGTTCTGGACTCTCTTTGCGCCGCCCTGGAGGTGGCCTACCGGCACAACACGGGGACGTTAAGGGAGCGCGTTGTATGGGGTATGGGGCCGGGTGGGGAGATAGGTGTGGTGCTGGCGACGGCACTCACAGCCAGAGAGACAGTGGCAATGCTGACAGCAGCGGGATTGGGGCTGAGGCAGCTTGATGCGCTGATTGCTGGAGGAGGAAGCGAGGTGTACTACTCTGTACCGTGCTCCACCGCATCGGACCTTGGAGCAGCAGCAGCTGGGGGAACAGGAGCAGGAACAGCAGCAGGAGCGGGTGCAGCGGCAGGCATGGCAGCAGGCTTGGTATCAGCCATGGCTCCTTTGGAGGATCGGGAAGGCTGGCAGTTGCTTCCCGATCCGGACTACTTCGCGCACATTGAATACCGGTGGAGCGCTGACGGTGTACGCAGGTCCATGGGACGAATCCTGGCTCATGCTATAAAGGGTACAACCACCGGTGGGGCTGCCAGTGCTGCCACCACTCCTGCTGCAGGCTCTGGAGGGGTCTTTCCTCCTCCTGCCACTGCCCTCTCTGCTGCTGCTGCTGCTGCTGCTACAAACGGGGCTGCTTCTAACGAGGAGGAGTATGTGCGCTCAATCTCCTTCTCAGACGGGCTGACAGCCATCGCCTCGGAGCCTGCAGCTGCTCCCACCCGCACGGGCATCCCTGGGAGCAAGAGCGTGACTGGCAGCAGGATAGGGGATGCAGGGGCGGGATCGAGGGGGGCGAGGGGGGCGGTGGGGAACGGGCTGCTGCTGCAGCAGCAGCAGCTGCTGGCGGTGCAGCGCGTGTGTGTGGAGGATGAGATGAGAACCACATCAAGACGGCTGGCTTACCGAGTGCTGGATATTGCACAGGTAGGAAATGGGCTTTTTGGTGCTGCTAGTTGTAGCAGCAGCAGCAGCTACTGGCAGTGCAGCGCGTGACGTGTGCTCTGACGTGTGCAGTATGGCATGGCTCAGCTTTCTCTACTCTCCTCCCCACAACCGTCCCCCTCCCCTTTTCCTCCTCCGCCCACCCTTCCCACAGATGCCAACAGCAGCTGAGCTGCGTCGTCGCCTGCGTCTACGTGGCTTGAGGTGCCACGTGGGCTACTGCCGTGCTGCCACGTGTCTTCACATCCTGCCTCTCCACGCCTCTCGCTCACAGGCCCTCAGGTAATGTATTTTGTGCACTGTGCATTGTGCATTATGCTTTGTCTACTGTGCCTATTGGGTAAAATACAATTTTCTTATTGTGTCTGACCTCCTTGACACGTTTTTCCCCAACTTTCTATCCCTGTGTCTGTCCCTCTCTGTCCCTCCCTGTCCCTTTTCTCCCTCTCCATCCGTCGCTATTCCAGGTACCTCTGTGTGCGCTGGGGATTGGAGCCTGCTGACCTGGCAATCATCGTCGGCAGTCCAGCTGGCGCTGACGGGGATTACGCGCAGCTCCTGTCAGGCATGCACCACACGCTCATTCTGGAACCTCCCCCTGCTGACGTGTCACAGCACCAAGCAGTGGCAGCAGTAGGGTTAGATCCGTTTGCAGAGTACAGGAAAAAGCTGCTGCATGAGTTCGTTCCGCGCAGTGACGTGCATTTGCCCAATCTGGTGAATGTGGAGGATTCGTCCAAAGACAAAGTCAACGCTCTTGCTGGCGCCCTGGAGAAGATAGGCTTTGCGTAACGCGAGTTACAAATTGATGTGCAGCTGCCCCTGCTGGTGAATGTGGAAGGTTCCTTTGAGCGACAAAGTGAGCGCTCTGGGTGGTGTTATGCGGAACTAGCTGCTCGTACCATGTGTTGGAACATCGTGGCAGCATGCACTATGGTATCAACAATTTGACTAGGCTTTTGAAAGTCTCTGCTTCGATTCAGCTGACTCTGGGGACTTTAGAATATACACACAAGTTAGTTTGTTTGCTTGCTCGTGTGCCATATGTCAAGGCATCTTAGCATCTCTGCATCAGCTGAAAGCATTACCAAAAGTGCTGCTGGAGTTGGACACCAAAGTACTGAGAGGAATCTAGAACCGTATGATTGTTACTGTATTGCTTTCCAGCTGCAATCTTGAATTTGAGGGATCGTTGATTGGCATGCGAAGGTGAGTGGTTGTTCCGCATCACAATTGCTCCAACAAGCCCACAAGCTCCGCTCCGCAACCAGCAGCCGCAATTTTCGTGTTTCACATCACAGTCAAACCGTTCTGAAAATTATTGGAGCTAGGAGTTATTGCCAAACCCCAATTGGACGTGTTTAGGGCTCCGTACCACCTCTGGTCCGGTTCCCACCACCACTTAGACACTTTCGAGGCTACCTCAGGTCTTCGAAATATATTTTCTTCCTTGAATGGCCTCCCAGATTTGGGTCATTCGAGCCTCAACTTCGGTTTTTAGTTGATCCAAAGTTCTGCTAGAGCTCTCCGAATGCGCCTTGGTTCACTTGAACCACGAACAAGCTCACAACTCACCCTCTGCAGCGCCGCGTTTTGCGGGCTCACACAGCCAAAACTACCAGCTAGATGTATGGCGCACGCAGTACCCTGTCATGGCGTTTTGCGCGTTCACAGCCAACGTAGATACTCGAATAATGCCTCATGCAGCCTATCAGCTGCCGCATTGCGCGTTCACAATGAAACGAAATAGTTGGCGAGGCAGCACTCGCGCGGAGTGGCCAATCAGCTGCCGTTTTGCGCGTTGGCAAGCTCGTTTGCGAGCGGGCGAACGGGTTGCACGCATCAGCGAAGCAGTCGTCGTTATGCGCGTTTTCGACTCAAACGAGATTTATTGTGGTGCCAGCGAGCCGCCGGGGCTTCCGGGCATGCCCCAACCAATAAATCCGTTGTCAATCGATAACCCCCTTGAGGCTTCACGATTAGCAGGCAGATCTTATGCAGTATATTCGACAAACAGTTATCGGATGGAAAGAGTGAGCCATCATAGTGTACGAGAGAATTTGCTTCTCTGATAGCCTCCTGACTCCAATCAATCTTACCATTTATCCTAGCCCGATACCACTAACGACCAATCATGGGTCGGCGCGTCCCCAGTCACGTTATTCACGCTGTGCTTGCCGTCGCAGCAGTCGCTATCGTCGTCGTTTCTCTCCTCTCTTCGATTCCGTCTGCTGCTGCGACACGTACGCGTGCTGGCGGCTGGTCTACCGTGGAAAACGCGGCTTCGGATCAGCACGTGGCAGATTTGGCCACCTTCGCCGTCGACGCGTACAACAAGAAACAGGTACTAGAGAAGCGTGTTTTCCGGCATTACTCGACGTGGCTACGAATAAGGGTTTGGGCAAATTCGCCGTCGACGCGTACAACAAGAAGCAGGTACCTAGAGAAACCCCGGTGCCACTCTGTCTTTTGAGGTGCCTTGTGTTTGAACCGTGCGCGTTCGCGTAGTGGCGGCTGGTCTACCGTGAAAGATGCGACGAAGGATCAGCACGTGGCGGATCTGGCCAGCTTCGCCGTCGAAGCGTACAACAAGAAACAGGTAGGTACCCAGAGAAGTCTCAAAAGAGGGATATTAATTTAAATTCGTTTTGAGACGTCTCAAAAGAAGGATCAGCACGTGGCGGACCTCGCCAGCTTCACCGTCGACGCGTACAACAAGAAACAGGTACCTAGCGAAGCGTGTTTTCCCCATTATCACTTCCATGCATTTGACTGAGAAACAACATTCTCAGTTGGCTTAAAAAAACACCTGAAGGACGTGGTGACGAATAAGGAGTTGGCCAGATTCGCCGATTGATTTCTTTTGTTTGCCTGAGAAAACGATTTTCTTTAGTCGGGTTGGAAAACACGTGAGAGACGTGGCGACGAATGAGGAGTTGGCAAAGTTCGCCGTCGACGCGCACAGCAAGAAAGACGTTGGATTATAGAGAAACCCGATTCCACTCTGGCTTTAGAAGTGCCTAATATGTGGCTTTAGTAAACCATATGTGTTGGAGACGTTTCAGTACCAGAGCCTTCGGTTACCACTGTCTGTTGAGGTGCCTCAGAAATTCTCTCCTCCCATCCCCTCCTCACCCCACCCCGCCAGATCCCGAGCCGAATACCGTCTCGGTCAAATTTCGCCTCGTTACAACGCCAATGGCCCGCCACAAGCCTCAAGTACTCCCCTTCTTTCCCACCCCACCCCACCCCAACCCCACCTCGCCAGATCCCGAGCCGAAGATCCTGTCGGTCAAGTCTCGCCTCGCTGTGTTACAACGCCAATGGTCGGCCACAAGCCTCAAGTGCTCTCCCTCCCCTCCTCATCTCCCACCCCACAGCACCAGAACACGACCCTTAGGTTCCACTCGCCTTCTGTTACAGTAGCCCCACGTGGCTAATATTAAAGAACCCGCACTTACTTAAGTGTCAGCCTTAAGTACTTTCTTCCCCTCCCCTCCCCTCCCCTCCCCTCCCCTCCCCTCCCCAACCCCACTTCACCCGGCCAGAACACGAGCGTCAGGTTCGTCTCGCTGAAGGCTGCGGTTGCCTTGTCACGATGCCCCGTGACAAGCCTCAAGTGCTTTCATTCCTTACCCACCCCATCCCACCCCGCCCCGCCCCACCCCACCCTACCCCACCCCACTCCACCATACCAAAACATGCGCCTCAGGTTCATCTCGGTCGTGAGTGCGAAGAGCCAGGTGGTTGTCGGCACCAAGTGGAGCATCACAAGCCTCTTCCCTTCCTTCCCCGCCCCGCCCCACCCCACTCCACCGCACCCCACCCCATTACACCAGCACACGCGTCTCAGGTTCATCTCGGTTCTGAGTGCGAAGAGCCAGGTGGTCGCCGGCACCAAGTGGAGCATCACAAGCCTCTTTTCTTCCTTCCCCACCCCACCCCATCCCACCCCACCCCACCCCACCCCACCCCACCTCACTCCACACCGCCCCAACCCACCGCACCAGAAAGCGCGCCTCAGGTTAGTTTCAGTCGAGAGTGCCAAGAGCCAGGTGGTCGCCGGCACCAAATGGAGCATCACTCTGCAAGCCGTCGCCCCAGCAGCGAACACCGGGCACATCCGCATCAAGCCACCCCTGACCACCTACGTGACCGAGGTTTTCGAGAAACCTACGGCAGCGGTAAAGCAGCCTGCGGGGGTAGCACACCTGGCAGTACAGCCGGTTGTAAAGAAGCCGGTGGTGGGCGATGGGCAGACGTCGGGCGTGGCGCAGCCAGCAGTGGGCAATGGACAGCCGGCGGGGGTAGCACAGCTGGTGGGAGACGGACAGACGTCGGGCGGAGCGCAGCCGGTGGGCGGTGGGCAGACGTCGGCGGTGAAACAGCCGGCGTTGGCGGATTCTCTCAAGCTGGTCTCCTTTGCCAAGAAGAAATGACCGGCGGCTTGAACTGACAGGTGACTTTTGAGGCGTCTCTAAATGCAGCGAGCTTTTACGAGGTTCTCTTCTTTGGCAAGGAGACAGGGTAGAAGCGAGACAAGGGTGATTGTAGAAAGTTCAAGCAAACTTACAGAGTTTAGCTGTTGTTTAGCTGCTGTAGGCTGTTGTGGGCTGGATGTTTGGAACTGTAGTGTGAACTGTGTCGCCTCTCTTAGTCCTATACCACTGTTGCTGGTAAAAATGTGCATTAGGTATTGTAATATATAGTGCCCAAAACGATTTCGCAGCACCGTACTGTTGGAGTTTGTACAGTGTCCAAAACGATTTCTCCCCAGAGAAAGTACCATTATAAACTTTTCACACAGGCCCTGTCAAATGTATACTGCTGCTTTAAGGGGAACATGTACCGGCTTTCTTGATTCCAAAGGCTAAGGTGGCGAGAGGATGTTGCTTAAAGCTCGCGTCTCTAATTTCCAACCGTTTAACACTTGGTTGGGTTTGCCAGGGTTTGATTGGGTAACGAAAGTCGAAATATTTGACGAGTGGGCGAAAAAAACACAGCGAACTCCAAAAGATCGAGGCCAAAACAAACCAGGGTGGGTTGGTTTGGGGGGAAACCGAGGCAAGGGTGACAGGTTTGGTCCTGGGTTCTGTCAACGTTCAGTTCAGAGTCTCATATTTTTGGGAGTTGTAAACACTTGGTGTGCACGGGGAAGTGTGCGACAGCCAACTTTCCCAACCACCCCTTGCTTTGGTGTGCTTCGCGACAAACTCTGCTGTTACCGGATTCCAACCGTTTAACACTTGGTTGGATGGCAGAAATATGAGACGCGAGCTTTAAGTGAAAATTGAACAAATATACCTGTAACTATAGTTGTAACAGAAACCAGTCTAAGTGTCATGTGACATTGTTCGGTGTACATTGTTCGCTGTACACTTCCGCGCCAATTTAATTATCTTGTGACAGAAGTGGAGGTGATTTTCGAGTCGAACCAATAACCGAATTGAATTGCCTGCCTAGTATCACAATTCCTCCGCTCCGCAGCCGCCGCCCCGCCCTACCCGTTCGGGCAGCCGAGCATTGGTGTTGCCGAGCTTGCACTTCCACGCAGAAGCCTATCAGCTGCCATCTTGCGCGTTCACTCGCGTTCACATTCGAACTTGGTTGACTACGTTCTGTGCGGTTACTCTTGTTGCGTCACGGTGCGAAACGGTGAAGCCTGATAACCGCTGTGCACCGTCTGGAATCGTCTTGCGCCACGACTTATGAACTGTAAACGCGCAGGACCCGCCGTGTATGGCGTTTGCCGAGCCAGCACAACACGCGGTAGCCTATCAGCTGCCATCTTGCGCGTTTGCAAAGCAAACTCGTTTCGTAAATAATTTATGGCGCTAGCTACTAGCCAGCAGCTATTTTCACGCATCACAAGCAGTCGTCGTGTCGCTCGTTCATTGGTTGTATCAGAATTATGACACCAGCGAGCCAGCACTTATTGCTGTCCCATAGAGCAGCCATGGCCCAACCAATAAATCCGTTCACCGCCAGGAGGAACCAGCCGTTCACGACTAGCTGGCGGATCATATGCGGTATAATTAGCAAGGGTTTCCGGCAAAGGAGGGAGAACCCTTTTGGTGTACGACAGTGATCCGCCTCTTCGATATCCTCTTGACTCCTATCAGTCCTATCGATCCTATCATTCTTCCTATCCCGATATCCGATATCCAGGGAGCTTCTAAGTAACGACCAATATGGGTCAGCGCATCGCCAGTCACGACCTGAACCCTACTAAGCACGCCGTGCTTGCGGTTACCGCAGTCGTCGTCGTCGTTTCGCTCCTCTCCTCGTTTCCATCCGCCGCGGCGTCTGGCCTTCCTGGCCCCTGGACCACCGTGAAAAACGCGGCGACGAGTAAGAACATGGAGGCGTTGGCCAGATTCGCCGTCGACGAGCAGAACAAGAAACAGGTACGTAAAAAAAAAAATCTGGCCATGATTGCTTCCAAGTGGACTCAAAACACACGCGGCGACGAGTAAGGACGTGGAGGCTCTGGCCAGATTCGCCGTGGACGAGCAGAACAAGAAACAGGTAGCACGAACAGCTTTTCTCGCTATTATTGCTTTCGCGCCATCATTGTTTTCGTGGTCATTGCTTTTTCGCTATCATTGCTTTCTCGCCATGTGTTCTTTCTCGCCATTCTTGCTTTTCCGCCATCAGTGCTTATCTCGAAATCAAATCATGACAAGGAAGACGTACCTTCCCTGGAATAGTAGTGTGGCACAACGGAAACATCCCATTCCCTTCCCCCCACTCCACCCTACCAGAAATCAAGCCTCAAGTTCCGTTCTGTCAAGGCGGCGTCGCACAAGGTGGTGGACGGCGACAAGTGGCAAATCATTCTGCGCGTCACACAGTCCTCACCGAGCAACTCCCTGGGGCGCCGCGCAGTCGCACCGCTGACTGATTACGTGGCGGAGATCTGGGATCAGCCGTGGTCGGGCTTCCGCGTGCTGCTCTCCTTCGACAAGGCAAAGTGTGGACCTGGGCTGGTTGCTGCGATGTTGTGTTGAGACAGAACAGAAGCCTCATGACGTCTTCTGTTTCACATGGTTGATTGAGACGCTCGAGAGACATGGCAGGAGGTTTGTTGGTTCGCAAGTGTTGAATTCTAAATCTAGAGGCAAATCTAGAGAGAGGTTGTGCACTTCGTTGTAATACCGTAATACCCCGGATATAAGACCCGGGGGTATTATAAGAATCCCACCCCAAAAATGAGGGGGGGTCTTAACAGTTGGCTACATTTTATAAGACCCGGGTCTTATCATAAGGTCAAGTATACTTCTTGTGTTTTGGAAGTCATACATGTCAACACTATGTGCTTCGTTTTTAGCCTCAAAGGGAATGCGCGCAATGAAATTCGTATTTAGCATACAAAATTATTACACGAAATTGACATGATGATGCGTATATGTGCTTTTGCGACTGGCTATACCCCTCATTAATGAAAAATTTATGGGATATGGTGCGGAAAGGGGCAGAAAAGCTATCAGAATTGCATTCATTGCCAATAAAACGACCGATTCTCTAGGGGGAGGAGGGTCTTATAATGTTAGCCCCCATTTAGGGGGGTATAACAAAAACAACCCATTTAGCGTACCCCCCTCCGTATTATAGACCCGGGGGTCTACAACTGGAGGGGGTCTTATATCCGGGGTATTACGGTATGTTTAGATGAATATATACCGGTATGAGTGTTTGGAAAGCAACTCATCACAGGGTCTCGCTGCCGCTACCACTGTGCCATCAGCACCTACCAAACTTGAACTCCCGCCAGTTCTGGGACATTCCAAACCTAACAGCAGATGACACCAATGCCACTAATGAAACTACTTGCCCTCGTTGCCTCCTGCCAGCAGAGCCTGCCCCAGATGCAGCATCACCAATAATACACCGAGTGAAACTCCTTCCCACCCCTCACCTTCACACTCCCTGCATAATCCTCTACTGATGACGCCTTCATGCCCTGCCATGCCTGCTGCTGCGAGTGCTGGTCCAGCCAGAGGGAGAGCTACTTGCCCTCATTGCCTGGCCCAAGAAGCAGCGACTGCCCCAGCTGCAGCATCACCAAATACACCGGGTGAAACTCCTTCCCGCCCCTCGCCTTCACACTCCCCACGTAATCGTCTACTGATGACGCCTTAATGCCCTGCCATGCCTGCTGCTGCGAGTGCTGGTCCAGAAAGAGTGAGTGCTATTTTGAGGGGCCCCGAAAAAAGCCAGAGGGAGCACTACTTGCCCTCGTTACCTCCCACCAACAGCGTCTGTCCCAGCTGCAGCATCACAGCATACACCGGGTGAAACTCCTTCCCACCCCTCGCCTTCACACTCCCCACGTAATCATCTAATGACGCCTTGATGCCCTGCCACGCCTGCTGCTGCGAGTGCTGGTCCAGCCAGAGGGAGTAGCGCGCTGGAGGCTGCTGAATGCGTGTGAACGGGGAGAGCAGCTCGGGGGGCGCGCGGGAGAAGAGGTGATGCAGGACAACACTTGGAGGGAGGTCCTGGGGGGGTGAGTAGGGGGGTCCGGGGGGAGAAGGGGGAAAATTATAGTGAGGCAACGAGCAGGTGAATGGGGAGAGCAGCTCAGGGGGCGCGCGGGAGAAGAGGTGGTGGAGAACCACGCTTGGAGGGAGGTCCTGGGTAAAATGGGCGAGGGGAGACATGAGAGCAAGTGGGGAGAGCGGGAGTGAGTGAACAGTTTTGAGAAGTCTCAAAACAACCCTTTTATCATAGAGCGGGAGTGAGAGGACAAAGAAGGCTAGTTGCGATATTCATAAAGGCCAGGAACAGAAGGGCCGTGAAGGCGCAGAGGATACAGTAGGAGGTGCCGAGGGTGTGTGTGGGTGCGAGGTGCTGCCCCACTCCGAACCTCTGACTACATGTAGTATGTAATAAACACACTGACTGACTGACCTGCAGCAGCGAGCTGGCGGGGATCTTATCCAGGTCCACGAAGAGAAGAGGGCGGAAGGCGCGGAGAGCACGGTAGGAGGCGCCGAGGGCGTGCGTGGGGAAGAGGTGCTGGCCCGCTGCAAACTCCAGCTCGCCCATAACAGACCACGGATCGCTACAATCACTCTTATCACTATCGTTGATATGAGCTGAGGGACTGACCTGCAGCAGCGAGCTGGTTGGAATCTTATCGAGGTCCACGAACAGCAGCGGCCGGAAGGCGTGGAGGGCGCGGTAGGAGGCCCTGAGGGCGTGTGTGGGGAAGAGATGCTGCCCCACTGGGATGCGACCTCTATACTACTGCAGAGACTCTCATTACAATTACCCGACTGACTGACCTGCAGTAGCGAGCTGGTGGGGATCTTCTCGAGGTCAACGAAGAGGAGAGGGCGGAAGGCGCGGAGAGCACGGTAGGAGGCCCCTATTATGTGTAGGGAAGAGATGCTGGCCCACTGCAAACTCCAGCTCGCCCATGTCCCTCGCCCCACTGCGATGTGAACTCATTAAAGCTGCGGTCTACATACGTTGAGCGGGAGGCCTGAGATTATCACTTGAAAACAGGGTGACCAGTTTTTGGACTGGGCCCACTTTCCTGCAAAGCTAACGGTTGAGGGGGGTGGAGAGAGGGGGTTGGGGTTCTTTCCGCCCGAAACCGAACTCCCCAGGTTGTTTCCCGCCCTTCCGCAGACCCTCCCCCAATCCACGCGTTAGCACGAAATTGGGCTGGATTCGCTTTTCCAGTCTGAGTTCGTCTGCTGCGGTGTTTCTGAAACATGCTGACTTCGTTCTCCAATCAGGCCGCACGAAAGGGTGGGCATAAAAAATACCCCCAAAAAACACCACTTTGTATGTAGACCGCAGCTTTAATGGGAGTAAACCAGCACTGGCATATTGGTAACCACCTTTGTTACAACCAATGGACGCACCTGCAGCAGCGAGCTGGTTGGAATCTTCTCCAGGTCCACGAAGAGCAGAGGGCGGAAGGCGCGGAGAGCACGGTAGGAGGCACCGAGGGCGTGTGTGGGGAAGAGATGCTGCCCCACTGGGATGCGACCTCTATACTAATGCAGAGACTCTCATTACAATTACCCGACTGACTGACCTGCAGTAGCGAGCTGGTGGGGATCTTCTCGAGGTCAACGAAGAGAAGAGGGCGGAAGGCGCGGAGAGCACGGTAGGAGGCCCCTATTATGTGTAGGGAAGAGACGCTGGCCCACTGCAAACTCCAGCTCGCCCATAACAGACCACGGATCGCTACAATCACTCTTATCACTATCGTTGATATGAGCTGAAGGACTGACCTGCAGCAGCGAGCTGGTTGGAATCTTCTCGAGGTCTACGAAGAGGAGAGGGCGGAAGGCGCGGAGAGCACGGTAGGAGGCGCCGAGGGCGTGTGTGGGGAAGAGGTGCTGCCCCACTGCGAACTCCAGCTCGTCCATAACAGACCACGGATCGCTACAATCACTCTTATCACTATCGTTGATATGAGCTGAGGGACTGACCTGCATCAGCGAGCTGGTTGGAATCTTCTCGAGGTCAACGAAGAGAAGAGGGCGGAAGGCACGGAGGGCGCGGTAGGAGGCGCCGAGGGCGTGCGTGGGGAAGAGGTGCTGCCCCACTGCGAACTCCAGCTCGCCCATGTCCCTCGCCAGCCTCAGCCGCCCCGCCTCTGATAGCGGTCGCACCAGCGAGGCATGGCGGACGAAAAATAGAAGTGTGCGGGATGCCAGGCTGATGGGAGAGAAGAGAATGGGAGAAAGCAGAGGGTGGGAGGGGGAGGGGGAAGGGGATGGGGGGAGGGGGAGGAGAGAGTGGAAATCGTATAAAGAGAAGCGTGAATGGGTGTGAGGTGCTGCCCCACGGCGAATTCCAGCTCGCCCGTGTCCCTCGCCAGCCTCAGCCGCCCCGCCTCCGAGAGTGGTCGTACCAGCGAGGCGTGGCGCACAAAGAAGAGCAGCGTGCGGGATGCCAGGCTGAGAGGGGGTGGGGGGAGAGAATGTGGAGAGGGCAGGGGGAGGGGGAGGGGAAAGGGGAGGGGGAGAGGGCGAGGAGAAAGTGGATATCGTATAAAGGGAAGCGTGTGTGGGTGCGAGGTGCTGCCCCACTGCGAATTCCAGCTCGCCCATGTCCCTCGCCAGCCTCAGCCGCCCCGCCTCCGAGAGTGGCCGCACCAGCGAGGCGTGGCGCACAAAGAAGAGCAGCGTGCGGGAGGCCAGGCTGGGAGGGAGAACGAGGGGACAGGGGGGGAATGGGGGGACAGGGGGAGTCAGCACAGCCACAACCACCCCCCCTCTGATACTGGCCGCACCAGCGAGGCATGGCGCGCAAAGAAGAGCAGCGTGATGGAGGCCAGGCTGGTGGGGGGGAGGAGAATGAGAGGAGCGGAGGGGAATGGGGGGACAGAGAGAGTCAGCTCAGCCTCAGCCGCCCCGAGGCAGCAGGACCCAACAGAGATGCAGCGAATATGGACGACCCAAAGACATTTCGAGCTTACCGTTTGGCGAGGGACTGGGCAACAGGCTCCGAGACAGTCGCAGGGGGCAGGGCTGTGGAAGGGGACAGAGGGCCCGAGGCAGCAGCATCGGATAGAGAAGCAGCGAATATGGACGATACAGCGACTGTCTAAAGAACAAGCTTACCGTTTCGCGAGAGACTGCGCAACAGGCTCAGAGACAGTCGCAGGGGGCAGGGCTGTGGAGGGAGAGAGAGGGCCTGATCCCGCAGCACCGGACAGAGATGCAGCGAATATGGACGAGGCCGGCGCTGCGGAGGAGGAGGAGGTAGAGGAGGAGTCAGGGAGAAGAAGCTTGGAGAGGAATTCGGTGTGGAAGTGGGTGATGGCTCGAATGGTGTTCTCCATGTATGGCGAGCAGTTGTCGCCCGCTGACTCGTGCTGCTGCTGCTGATTCTGGTTCTGCTTCTGGGGTGGTCTGGAGCCCCCGCTGCTGCTGGCGCGGTTTCTTGAGGCCGAGCCGGGGGGTGGCGGGGTGGTGGAGGAGGGAGGGGCGTTGGGGTCGTCTGAGGCAAAGTCCTGCTGGTGGATTTGGAGAATGCAGGCCTCGATGCGATCCCGCATGGCCTGGATAGGGGGGGGAAAGGGGGAAGGAAGAGGAGAAGAAGCTTGGAGAGGAATTCGGAGTGGAAGTGGGTGATGGCTCGAATGGTGTTCTCCATGTATGGCGAGCAGTTGTCCCCCGCTGACTCGTGCTGCTGCTGGTTCTGCTTCTGGGGTGGTCTGGAGCCCCCGCTGCTGCTGGCGCGTTTTCTTGAGGCCGAGCCGGGGGGTGGCGGGGTGGTGGAGGAGGGAGGGGCGTTGGGGTCGTCTGAGGAGAAGTCCTGCTGGTGGATTTGCAGCAGACAGGCTTCAATGCGATCGCGCATGGCCTGGGGAGAGGGAGAGTACAGGTGTGTGTGGAGGAAGAAACAAAGTGGGCAGGGGAACGGGGCGGGCAAAAGAGGGAGGGGCGTTGGGGTCGTCTGAGGAGAAGTCCTGCTGGTGGATCTGGAGGAGGCAGGCCTCGATGCGATCCCGCATGGCCTGACAGGGAGGGAGTGGAATGGGGAAATAGAACGGAAAAGATTGGTTTGTTTATGAGTTGCTCTGGTCTCCCGATGGAGCACAAGATGAGCGCTCCTTGAAGAGGGGAGCCACGGCATCCATGGCTACTCCATGCGTGCACGGACCCCACACCCGCCTCCATCACAGAGTCAGATGGAGGATGCAAGACGCAAAACACAATCATGTGGTGCGCATGGTGAGCGCACAATCATGTGCATGGAGCACAAGATGAGCGCTCCTTGAAGAGGGGAGCCACGGCATCCATGGCTACTCCATGCGTGCACGGACCCCACACCCGCCTCCATCACGGAGTCTGGTGCACGATGCAGGCTACAAGGCACAACCATTTGTGTGTGCAGATGAGACATGGTATAAGCCCAGCTTGAAGAGCGGAGCAACAGCATCCATGGCCACCCCATGCACGGACCCCACACCTGCCTCCATCACACGGTGCCCTATGCAAGACACAACGAATTGTGATTATGGAGTGTCGGGATGAAACATGATGATATGAACCCACCTTGAAGAGGGGAGCGACAGCATCCATGGCCACCCCGTGCACGGACCCCACGCCCGCCTCCATCACAGAGTCTGCCTCCTCTGGCAGGCGGGCCAGCAGCTGCATGCAGCGCACACAGCAGGTGCAGCATGCAGCGTGCAGGAGCCTGATGTGCCATCAAATGCTAGCACCCGGAATGCAGGAGTTGATGCTTTTACCCACCTTGAAGAGCGGAGCGACAGCATCCATGGCCACCCCGTGCACGGACCCCACACCCGCCTCCATCACGGAGTCCGCCTCCTCTGGCAGGCGGGCGAGTAGCTGCATGCAGCGTGTGTGCACCGCTCCCAGCAGCACGCACAGGGAGATGTTGCGCTGCTGCGCTGGCGAGCAGGGGGCCAGGACTTGCCGGGACTCGGGACCGGTGGCCACCTGGAGAGCAAAGCATAGGGGGAGTGGAGGAGAGGGACAGCGGAATGAGCAGGTGCATATACAGCGGGAGTGCACCGCCCCCAGCAGCACGCACAGGGAGATGTTGCGCTGCTGCGCTGGCGAGCAGGGAGCCAGGACTTGACGAGATTCGGGACCGGTAGCGACCTGGAGGGCGTAGGGAGAAACGGGGAAAGGGGTAGTGTTAACCCTCAGTCTCACATTTTGTACTTGTACTTATTATATCCTAGCATAGTGTATCTTGCACTTTGTGTTTGGTTGGGTGTACAACATCCCAACCAAACCCAAATGTAATCACCAAGCAATCTCCAACCCACCAAAAGGAGATTTTCTTGGGATTACCCCCAATCCCTAGGGATTGCCCCGGATTCCCTCCCCATCCATTACCTTGCTCATCTCGGATGTATGTAAGGAGCTTTAAGCTCATTACTAATGCATCGATTCCAAGCTCATTTCTTACAGGTGTAATGGGGAAAAGGAAAGGTTAGTTAGAAGGATAAAGAGAAAAAGTAGTGAGTGCACTGCTACCAGTAGAACACACAGGCACCTGCATGCAGAGCGTTGCCTGCATTCGCCAGAACAACGCATTACCACACACATGCGCCCACACCCATCCCACACACACCTGGTATTCACACCGCTCTGCCAGCAGCTGCAGAGCCTTGCCAGCACTCGCCAGCATGAGTGACAAGCCCATGACAGGGCATGCCCCATACACCACCACACACCATCACGTACACCATCTCCCAATCCCACCCACCTGGTATTCACATCGCTCTGCCAGCAGCTGCAGAGCCTTGCCAGCATTCGCCAGCACGAGCCTCAGCAGCCGACCATTCCCCTTCACCGCCTCCACCTCCTCCTCCATCCTCGTTATAAGCCTCACCCCCGCCTCTGGCCCCGGCACACCCCCCCTCCCACCCCCTGCTCCTGGCATCATCGTGTTAATCGGATCCGTCATTCTAGAGAGCGAGAGGGCCAGATACGCGGCCTGAAACGGCTCAAGAGCAGACATCATCTGCGCGCGATGCTCCACAGAAATAACCGCCGGCGTGCCGCCATTGGCCCACGAACCAGCCACCACAGAACCACCTCCAACCGCTCCCAACCCAAACCCCCCTCCTCCCGCTCCTCCCCCGACTCCCCCTCCCCCTCCCCCCAGCACGCGCACGTCTGTGTCCGCCTGTAGGCGGTCGAGGAAGGATTCTAGGGAGGCGAGGAGGCGGGGATAGGCGGAGACGAAGGTCTCTTTGACGAAGGAGGAGGCGGTGAACGTGGCTCGTAGCTGGGAGGAGAAGGCGCGGAGCAACGCCTCCCATACTCGCTCCGTGGGTAGGGCGTCCCCTGACTGGCCGGGGGAGGTGGGAGAGGGGAGAGAGAGAAGAACAGGAGGGTAAGACCAGGGGTGATGGGCGGTGGGGCGAGTGGCTCGCAGCTGCGATAAGAAGGCGCGGAGCAACGCCTCCCATACTCGCTCCGTGGGTAGGGCGTCCCCTGACTGGCCGGGGGAGGTGGGAGAGGGGAGAGAGAGAAGAACAGGAGGGTAAGACCAGGGGTGATGGGCGGTGGGGCGAGTGACTCGCAGCTGCGATAAGAAGGCGCGGAGCAACGCCTCCCATACTCGCTCCGTGGGTAGGGCGTCCCCTGACTGGCCGGGGGAGGTGGGAGAGGGGAGAGAGAGAAGAACAGGAGGGTAAGACCAGGGGTGATGGGCGGTGGGGCGAGTGGCTCGCAGCTGCGATAAGAAGGCGCGGAGCAACGCCTCCCATACTCGCTCCGTGGGTAGGGCGTCCCCTGACTGGCCGGGGGAGGTGGGAGAGGGGAGAGAGAGAAGAACAGGAGGGTAAGACCAGGGGTGATGGGCGGTGGGGCGAGTGGCTCGCAGCTGCGATAAGAAGGCGCGGAGCAACGCCTCCCACACTGCTGGAGGAGACAGGCGCGAGACAAGGTCTCACTGCTGGTAGAACCGTTGAGAATGGCTGCATTCGAACCGCTGCAAGCCCACTTGCCTATCCCCCTGTAGTGAGACGATTATCGAGGCACACCCACGTGCGAGATGGGATCTCTGTTACTGTGGCAGCAAAATCCTCCCCGCCCCCCCGCACTACCCCTACCCCTTCCCCCACCTGCAGCACGTGGTCCAGTCCAGGAACACGACATGTGAGATGATTTTTTAGGCGATTTTTTAGGCTCCTAAAAAATCACCTCGCTGCTCGCGGTTTTGAGGCGCCTAAAAATCACCTCAGTGGTCCAGTCCAGGAACACGACACGTGAGATCGGATCTCGCTTCTTGCAAGCCCTGCCACCTTAGTATCCACTTCCCCTGCAGAACATAACACAAAAAACCCCGCAAACATTCCCTCCCCACTCCCCCCCCACGTGGGCTTTAAGTTGACTCAAAACACAACGCACCTGCAGCACATGGTTCAGGAACACAAGGTGCGAGACGGGATCTCTGTGCTTGCAGCAGCACCTGCACTGCAATGCACACCCCCGTATACCTCCCCACCCCTCACCACACCTGCAGCACGTGGTTCAGGAACACAAGGTGCGAGACGGGATCTCTGTGCTTGCAGCAGCACCTGCACTGCAATGCACACCCCCGTATACCTCCCCACCCCTCACCACACCTGCAGCACGTGGTTCAGGAACACAAGGTGCGAGACGGGATCTCTGTGCTTGCAGCAGCACCTGCACTGCAATGCACACCCCCGTATACCTCCCCACCCCTCACCACACCTGCAGCACGTGGTCGAGGAACACAAGGTGCGAAATCGGATCTCGCTTCTTCGCCATCACTCGCTGCAGGTGCCACGTCAGCACCATCACGCGCGCCAGCTCATCCAGGCATCCAGTCAGCCGCTGCCACAGCGCCTCCCGGGCTCTGGGGGCACCCCCCATTGGGGGCGTGCCGCTGCGCATGGCTCCTCCTGGGGAGGGGGAAGTTGGGGGGGTGGGGGGGGGGGGGGTGGGTAGGTAGGAGGTTTAGGTGAATAATACAGGGAGGGGAGGAAGGGGAAGGGGAAGGAGAAGATGAGCCTTGAACCAACTCAGCCGCCACAGCGCCTCCTGGGCTCTGGGGACGCCGCCCATTGGGGGATTGCCTCTGTGCATGGCTCCTCCTGGTGGGGAAGGAAGGAAGAGAGGGGGGCACCAAGGGGATAAGTACGAGGGAGGTTGGTGGTGACGGGGGAGGGGTGGGGGGGGGAAAGGGGGAGATGGTGGGGAGTAGGGAGGGCGAGGAGATATGGGGGCTCCCTTGCTCTAAAGGCCACCAGTTGAGTGCCGCTGCACGTTGCAGAAAGCATTATTTTCTTGAGAATTCTAAAGAAACGGGAGAAAAAAATGAAGACGATGTTCCTGGCAAGAGAGCGAAAGATGGGATCATGGGACAGAGAGAGAGAGAGAGAGAGAGAGAGAGAGAGAGAGCTCACTTGACTTGAAGAAAGGGGAAAACTGGGAAGGGAGAGAGAGGCGTTGGGAGGGGGAGTGGGGGCGGGCAAGTGGGAAGGTCGTCGAGTAGAAACTAGTACCCTTCCTTCCGAGTGACATCCACGCTCGTCTCGACTTCAGAAGGTCAAGTTTCCTTCGAAAAAAAAGTTAAAAATCTGAAGTATTGCTTCAAGTCAAGGACACACGAGTCCTGGGTTCTTTGAGGCTCCTCAAAAGTCGAGTCCTGGGTTCAAACCATACAGTCACAAGCATTCAGAGATGGAAGATTGGTTGTGGTTCGTCTCAAATGAAGCATACAAGTGTCCCGCTGCAGCTGCCTACAAGCATACCTGGTCTATTTATTATGCACCTCACCACCGAAGAAATCAGGCTTACCTGGTCCGCCTACTGACCCGCCCATCCCTCCTCCGCCGCCTGAAGCTCCCATGCTGGCGCTGATAGCCTGATTACAGGGAGAACCGGGTGGGGAGAACAGGGTGGGGAGAACCGGGTGGGGAAATGCATAGCGCCGCGCGCGCAATGAGGGTCGAGCAGGAAAAGGGTAAACAAACATTGAGTGAGGCTTGTGGGAGCGACAAGGTATGTGTGAGGGAATAGACACGCGAATGCCACAATGGGATGCATACGGGTGGGGAAGCTTCATGAGCACTTGGATGGGGAAGGGAGAAGCCCCCATATCATATCACCACACCTTCATGTCTAGCCCTTTGGCCACTGCTCTCATGGCCTGCCCCTTGTGCTCCATGGAAGCCTCAGAACGTCCCATATACCTTTCAAACCCAGAAGAGCCAAACGAAGCACGTTTACGTGGAATCAGGGGGTGGGGGAAGGGAAGCTCGTACCTTCATGTCTAGCCCTGTGGCCACTGCTCGCATGGCCTGCCCCTTGTGCTTCGCTACTAGCTGATCCACCGTCTGCCTCAGCTCGCCCATATTGAAAAACACCTGCAAGAAACCGATATAGCAATAGAAACCGCAGCTTTGAGGACTCTCAGTGCTGAAAAGCGCCTGAAGGGAAGTAGAGGAATGGGGGCGAGGAAGCATCAAGACAGGCAATTGCGCCGCTTTCATTACCATCCATCGCCCCTCACTTTTCTCTTCTTTCCAACCCTTTTTCTGGAACTTCTATACTCTCTCCCCTGCAGCATGCTCTTTCTGAGGCGCCTCAAAAGTCACTCTCCCCTACAGCATGCTACTGCTGACTACAACTTAGCCCATCGCCTCCATGCTCTCATTCCCCTATTCCTCTCCACTCCCCCCATTTCTGTCCACTCCCCTCAACTCCTCAACCAGTCCCATCCATCCCAACCAATCCAAATCTCTCACCTGCAGCACGCTGCCCACTTCAGCCTGGTTCATCGCCTCCATGCCCCCCTCCAGCGCCCGCATTGCCTCCCTCCTGATAGCCTGCCCTGCCTCCGCCACCCACTCGTGCTGCGCCTCCACCACATGCACCCCCCCCAGCTGCGCCTCCCTGTGCACCGCCCCCACCTCCTGCCACACCTGCCCCGCCTTCCCCAGCTCCGCCTTCTCCACTCCCCCACTCAAATGCTCCCTCAGCTTCCGCACCTGGAGGAAACGTGTAGGGGGGAGGGAAGGGGAGGTTCAAGAAGTTCCCCCCAATACCTCGCAGCAGAGATTTTGAACCTCCTTGAACTTGAACCCCATCCCCAATCGATTAACCCTTGACTCCCCATCTGATACCCCCGAATTAGCAACTTGAAGTTTCTTAACCACTACTCAGCACCAGGTAGTTAATCTCCATTCACCACCAGGTAGTTAATCTCCATTCAGCACCAGGTAGTTAATCTCCATTCACCAACAGGTAGTCAATCTCTACTCACCAGTTTGAGGTATTTGATGACGGCCCTCAGCAGCTCCATGGTGTCGTACAGGGCGGCCAGCTCACGTGTCCAGGTGACGTTTGAATCGACGCAAAAGATCTAGTCGACCTTATAAAATCAGAGCTCACCAGTTTGAGGTACTTAATGACGGCTCGCAGCAGCTCCATGGTGTCGTACAGAGCTGCCAGCTGACGTGTCTTCACCTGAATGGCCTGATACGGGTCTGCTATCTCTGCCCGCACGCGCTGTGGGTGGGAAATAGACAAAGCACACACGTAGGCACTTTGCAAATTGGTTATTGGATATAGTTCTTCACTATGTCCATTATTCGCCACACAAAAAAAGTGATTCACAACAGCATATCCAGACCAGTTTCCCTCCTCTCTCTTGCACTCTCTCGCTCATCGTCCTCTTAATTCTCTCTTCAAGCATACACAAAAACGCACCTGGACAGAGGCTAGTAACGAGTCGACTCCAGCGCGCACCACAGACAGCACGCCCTCTGTGTCTTTTAACGAGGACAGCTGCTGCAGCAGCTCGTCATGATGCGTTGCCACCTCAGCCTGCACCTGCGCCTGCAGCGCAGATATCACCTCCCCCAGCTGAGCCGCGGTGAGCACAGATGAACCCTCCTTTCCCCCTGCTGCCATGCTGTGTGCTAGGGCCTATGGAAGGGCAAAGGGAAGAAACGAGGAGGAAAGGGGGAAGGTGGAAGAGTAGATTGGCCACTTCAGCACAGATATAGCCCTACGTGTTTTTTAACGAGGACAGATGCTGCAGCAGGTCGTCATGATGCGTTGCCACCTCAGCCTGCACCTGCGCCTGCAGCGCAGATATCACCTCCCCCAGCTGAGCCGCGGTGAGCACAGATGAACCCTCCTTTCCCCCTGCTGCCATGCTGTGTGCTAGGGCCTATGGAAGGGCAAAGGGAAGAAACGAGGAGGAAAGGGGGAAGGTGGAAGAGTAGATTGGCCACTTCAGCACAGATATAGCCCTACGTGTTTTTTAACGAGGACAGATGCTGCAGCAGGTCGTCATGATGCGTTGCCACCTCAGCCTGCACCTGCGCCTGCAACGCAGATAACACCTCCCTCAGTTGAGCCAGGGTGCAAAGATGAGCCTTCCTCTCCCCAACTGACATGCAGTGTGCTGGGGCCTATAACTGTGGAGGGAGAAGGCGGATAAGGGTTTCTTATGAAGCAGATATCGCCATCTCGAGCTGAGCTAAGCACATACGAGCCTTCAATTACCGCTGCTGACATGCTGTATCCGGCAAATGAGACGCCTTGAACCAGTTCCTTCAGACGTATACAGACCGTAAAAATCACTTGTGAGAATTCTCAAAAGTGATTTCAACGCTGCTGATATGCTGTACACAGTAAAAGATACGTCTTTGACCAGTTCCTTTAGACGTATACAGGCCCTAACTGACGAACTTGTGGCTTCAGACATCGACGAACCGTAAACAGCGCTCTGCCTTGAATTCGGATCTACAGAAGTCTACAAAGGAAACGTAACGAGCATTTGACCTGCTATACAGCCAACCTGCGTCGATGATTTGTCCCAGATGAATCTGTTTCTTGAGAATTCTTGAAAAACAAACTCGAATCAACAAAAGTCTACCAAGGAAACGTAACAAGCATTTGTCCTGCCTGCGCTACAGCCGACCTGCGTCGAAGATTTGTCCCAGATGCCTTTTCAGTCGGCTCGAAAACAGACTCAAAAACCATATCAACTCCGGCTGATGTGACACGAACCTGCAAATGCGTCGATGTCCTTAAGTTGCTCCAGCTGCTTTTAAAATCGACTGAAGTCAAAACTTATACCGTCACCGTCAGTTGCTCCAGCACACGAACGAACCTGCAATGCGTCGATGTCCTTAAGTTGCTCCAGCTGATTTTAAAATCGACTGAAGTCAAAAACCATATTGTCAGTCAGCTGCTCACACAAACCTGCAATGCGTCGATGTCTTTTAAGTTTCTCCAGCTGCCTTTGATTCGACTCAGAAACTGTGCCGTCACCATCAGTTGTCACACGAACCTGCAATGCGTCGATGTCTTTAAGTTGCTCCAGCTGACGCACCAGTTCATCGTTGCGCAAAACTCCCCCTTCCCGAGGGGAATGCGGAGACGCCTCCTCCTGCGCCTGCACGTTCCGCAATACCCCTTTTGCAGAGGCCATTGCCGCCGAACCCGCCGTGAAATGCGGACAGGCTACAAGGTGGACGAACAGACACTTGATCTGAAGGTCTGCACGAGTGGGCTGTCCACAACACCAAGGTATTCCCGCTGGTCCTACTCTAAGTCGACGTTCTCCAAGTACGGAATCTTCCAGAAAACTACATCAATAGTTCCGCTCAGGAGAAGCATAGAACTGCGTGAAGTGATTCTGGGCCAGATCAAATAAAAGAATTCCGAAAAACCGCACTCACAGGTGCTTCAATAACAGCAGCATGCAATGTACGTGCACAACTTCATGGCTACAAATTTATTTTCCACCAGTTTTGATTGTTTAATGCCAAACCGAATAAAAATATTCCACGGCCGCTTCCTGGACTTAAGAAACGTGTCGTGCCATGTACCAAGAACATCCACTACCCTACAAATCGCAATATTATTTGAACATGCTTATTTCATTTAACATCCTAAAGTTTCCCGCATAACATCTATATTGTAGTAGGCCAACCTTCATTGAGCATGTTCTTGAGCATTGGTTGAGACGTTGTTTGGTTTCAGGATTTCAAACTTTCAATTGTAGTGCATTTTATTAACTCGTGTATTTCTGAGCTACACGAACCTACGTCTTTACCGGGTTGGCGTTCGATCGCGCATACTCGGACTTGCACAGTGATCCCACCAACTTTACCGAAGCTCCATCTCGCTGGACTTGCCAAGCCCGTCCAAACTCTCGTACATCGAAGAGGATTGCGGTACGCAGGTGGCGCATTTGCAACTCCAAATCCTCTTCGTTGATAGGCAGGGCAGCATCCCAAGTGTACACGACCAGGAAAGGCGGGAAACTGGAACAAAGGGAGTTGTCAAAATGTGCGGCTTGGGTCCGATACTGGAGCCACAAACGGATCACACGTGGCAGGCAATCCGACCTGGAGGTACACCATGTGGATCATCCACATCACCCCCCTCTCGCCACACATCGGCAAGATCTATGCGAGTGCGAGCCGCACCGAACCCAAAATAGCTTCAGATACCCCCCTCAGAAAGGCTCACCCCAACAAGGCCAGGATTTCAAGCGAGATTCTGAATTTCGCCTTTTTCACTCCCCCAGCCAGCGACCAGAACAACTGGTGCCCAAGACCAGGAAACTAATTCCGTTCCCATGCACTGGACAGCATATATAAACACCAACACAACATTAATGACCGAACCTTGACACTTCTCACGGTCGCAGTTTCAGTCGTCGTCGTTAATCGTCTTCGTAAACACTCTTGTGCTTTCAGAGCGTTTACACGACTCTCCGACACAATGGCTGCGACTCTCTCCTCTTCGGCATCCGCCACCCTTCGCTCCCTCTCTATCCCAGAGGGAAGCAGCCTCTCCACTTCCTCGCGGGCGGCAATCCCTGGGTTCTCCGGCCTCAAGGCCCAGAAGGCTCTTTCCGCCTCTGCTCAAACATGCACCTGCATGACTTGCGCGAAATGCGGTAACCGTCGCACAAGCGTCGTCGCCATGGCGAGCGCCGACAACCAGTTCGCGAGCGTCTCCCAGTCCACCGCCGCTCCCGCCGCTCCTGCCGCCACCGCCCTCCTCCCCGCCATCGTCGGCGCCGGCGCTCTGGGCGCCGCGACCTACGTCGCCGTGAAGAAGCTCACCGCGTCTCCCGCCGCCGCTCCCGCCGCACCCGCCCCCTCCTCTCCCGCGGTGACCAGCGTCCCGCCCAGCGGCATCGTGCCCCGCGCAAAGCACGCGGCGGCGTCGGCGCTGTCGACGATGGCGACAACGTTCCCGTCGGCGATGCAGGAGGAGGCGTTCCTGAAGGCCGTGGCGGTGGAGCTGGCGAAGCTGGGGTTCCGCAAGGACAACGGCATCGCGCTCGTCAACACGTGTCGCGACGAGGTGTGCCGGCCCGTGGTGAGCATCATCGACCGCGAGTTCGGGCTGAGCTTCAACATCTCGGGGCTGGGCGGGCTCGTTAACTGCGGCAAGGTCGGCTTCGGAGCCGCCATGAGCCACTCGCCCGAGTTCCCCTGCGACGTCGACGGCAACCTCAAGGAGCGATGTGAGTTCGGGTTACCTCGTTCCGAATCATGGAAAATTGTGATAACCCTTTGCTTTTCCACTTTGCGGTGTGACATTTTGCTCTTCCTCACTGGTGCGTATCAGTTGAGGGTCCCTTCTTCACATATCCGTTGTTTTCTGAAACTGATCATTCCTCCCTTTTTCATCCTGACTTGTCATTTCCTCCAGACATTTTCTTCGCATTCCCGCACGTGTCCATCGGCGAGTCGGGCGAGGTGGGGTCGCTGCTGCGTCGCGGTCGCGGTAAGGCGTCGAGCGCATGCGGAGCGTTGATCGCCATCAACAACGACATCAACAACGGCGTGGCGCCCAGCATGGACAGCGACGACCCCGAGTACACGCTTCTGCGCAAGAAGATCATGGCTAAGGTAAGGGATGGTCAATAAATCCGAGTAATCAAACACTAGAAGCTTCATGAAAGCTGGGAATCTAACGGTTGCAACGTATTACTCCAGATTTCGTTTCAAGCAACTTCTGTTCGACCACTCTAAATTCCTGTTCCTCTTGCTCCACTTCCATCAATCCCCCGCAGGTGTCGGGCGGCAACAAGTCGCTGGTGGACGTGACGCGCGCGGCGTTGGCGGCGATCAACGAGGACTTGGAGAAGCTCATCAAGCTCACGGTGAACCCCGAGACGGCGGACTACGCCGTGATCACGGGCGTGCAGATCCACTCGGGCGACCAGATTCCCGGCCAGCCCTTCCGCATCGAGCGCACCTGCGACTACATCGCGCCCGACAAGATGTACGCCGTGGTGCGCGGGCAGAAGTACGAGCTCAAGGTGGAGACGCCCAAGTCGCAAGGCGTCGCTGCCATGGTTTAGTGTTTCGGCGCCAAACGTTAATGATATGCAGTAACTGCAATGCACTTAGCGTGTTTTCGCTTCTAAGAAGCGTTCTGCCAATTAAATTGTACATGTCTCTATATAACTTAATCGCCCTCATTGCAAACATAGCATCAAGAGGAACTGCCATATGGAACTCAAGCTTTTAACAGTGTGCAATCTGTTGGATGCAGAAACATAAGAGGAAACATGAGAGGAACGCTGGTGAACATGAGGCCTTTCTGGAAAACAACATTTTCACTACCTTCTGTTGTCAACATGGCGCTGCTTATTCAGGCGTCAGGGGGCATTCCTATCCCGTGTCAGACATTAGGTTCGGAAGATCCGAAGTGGCTCGTTTTTGGGGCGATTGGAAGTTCGGAAGAGCCAAATTGGAGACTAAGGCCGCTGACTTGATGTCTGACACGGGATAGGAATGCGCCCTCACCCAAACAAATCATCACGCTGAAACTTTTCTAGCATTTCATCCCATTCCATCCCATTCCATGCACCATGTCATATTTCACCCCACTGCAACTCGCTGTCGCAGATGCGCTTTCCAGTTTCCGATTTCAATAACTTACCGTTGGCATCTCAGTTGCCAATGCCTTCCTCCTGCTTCTCACCATGGCAAAAACGGCATTGCAATAGCTAAGTCTTGTCTTCCTCACTCCCACTTTCGACCATGTTTGTGCTTTCGCTTCTGAAAAACAAGCGTCGCGTTTAGATTTGCAATCAACATCTGCAGCTAATAACGGCCATGGCTTAGTGAAACTGAACGTAAGCATTAGCTTAGAACCTACATATTAAGCTGCTTTATGGCCTAACAGGATTAGTTTCAATGACTGCCCAATCACAACGCATAATTGAGGTTATAAAAAAAAAAAATCGATTAACACATCCATCCAACCTAACGCTTTATTTAATAACAAAATATAAACATGGTGTGGGTCTTCTTTATTTAGCACTAAATTTCTTCAAACCATGGCAGCGACGCCTTGCGACTTGGGCGTCTCCACCTTGAGCTCGTACTTCTGCCCGCGCACCACGGCGTACATCTTGTCGGGTGCAATGTAGTCGCAGGTGCGCTCGATGCGGAAGGGCTGGCCGGGAATCTGGTCGCCCGAGTGGATCTGCACGCCCGTGATGACGGCGTAGTCCGCCGTGGCGGGGTTCACCGTGAGCGAGATGAGCTTCTCCAAGTCCTCGTTGATCGCCGCCAGCGCCGCGCGCGTCACGTCCACCAGCGACTGGTTGCCGCCCGGCGACACCTGCGGGGCGAGATCAAATGTGGGAGGTTATAGTTACAAGTCTTTATGGCTAACCATTAGCTCTTCATATTTATTTCTTGTGTTAATGACCCTGAAACGAGGCAATCTTTTATTTACGGACGCGTTCGTACCTTGGTCATGATCTTCTTGCGCAGCAGCGTGTACTCGGGGTCGTCGCTGTCCATGCTGGGCGCCACGCCGTTGTTGATGTCGTTGTTGATGGCGATCAACGCTCCGCACGCGCTCGACGCCTTGCCGCGGCCGCGACGCAGCAGCGACCCCACCTCGCCCGACTCGCCGATGGACACGTGCGGGAACGCAAAGAAGATGTCTGCAGGAAGGAAACACAGACAGAAGTAAATTAGAGGGTTAATAAGTGAAAGGGCACAGCTCAGCTGGGTATGCGATCGGGTACAATAACAGGAGAAGTGGGCAGCAATATGAGGAAACGCGACTGGAAGGCTCGTAGTGGCTAACAGGAAAATCAGCACTATGTATGTATTGAGAGCCCAAACGTACATCGCTCCTTGAGGTTGCCGTCGACGTCGCAGGGGAACTCGGGCGAGTGGCTCATGGCAGCTCCGAAGCCGACCTTGCCGCAGTTGACGAGCCCGCCCAGCCCCGAGATGTTGAAGCTCAGCCCGAACTCGCGGTCGATGATGCTCACCACGGGCCGGCACACCTCGTCGCGGCACGTGTTCACCAGCGCGATGCCGTTGTCCTTGCGGAACCCCAGCTTCGCCAGCTCCACCGCCACGGCCTTCAGGAACGCCTCCTCCTGCATCGCTGACGGGAACGTCGTCGCCATCGTCGCCAGCGCCGACGCCGCCG